AGGTAGGTAGGTAGGTAGGTAGGTAGGTAGGTAGGTAGGTAGGTAGGTAGGTAGGTAGGTACGTACGTACGTACGTACTGCCAGAAGCAAGAATGGTCATATTTTAAAAAAATCAATAAAAAAAAGAGAAAATACTTGGGCAAAAAATTGTGATGAGAAGTTGACTCAAACTTAAAAGTAGAGGAATAGCAACTTGCATTTACTAAACTCTAAGCCCAATAAGAAAATAGAAGGATTCGTATGTATTTGTGTGAGTAAATGTGTAATTAGACATTAATATGTATACTTAGACAATAATACATATAATTAAAATAGTCGGAAGGGTCAGAGAGCATAAAAACCAAAGGGGCTTGACTTGGCGTTTGGAATTACGGAACTGAAAAACTAATTTCAGTCGATCCCCGATCCCTGGGAAGCACACGATCCTACGATCCACCATGTGGGTGGGTGGGTGGGAATTTAATACTACGTAAAACACATAGTGAATAAGAATAAGTTAAAAAGAAAAATAAGAAGTGAGGTGTGAATTGCAATTGTGTGGGTCAAGTGAGTCAACTAGTCGAGCAAACAAGAGATTAAACAAAATGCCTTAATAATTACTCTGTATAATAATCATCATCATTAGACATTATATGGATTAAAAAACAAAATAAAAATAAATCAACTAAAAAAAAGTAAGAATCGACTATGCTAAAAAGGAGGAGTGTTGTGACCGACTTGCGCTGCAATTGCGCCTAAGATAACAAAATTTTTGATGGCGATGGAGTCCTGAAGAAGAATCGATCAAAGAGACTCTGGAGCGGTTTCCGAGCCTTGGGGGAATTCAGTCGTAAGAATTGGAGCGACAAGCCAGAAGAAACGTGATTAAATAGGTCAAGGTCAGTTTATTTTTTTAAAAAAGTTTGACCAGACGCAAAGCGTGGCTGGCGCACGCCACTCGCCAGACCCTAGCGGCAAAAGCGACCGCCTCTGGAGGTAAAATGCTACGCCACAACCCAGACTGGCGGAAATACCACGCCACAGTGCCTTTAGCGCCATAAGCGCAAATGGCGCTCGCCATTAATAACTATGCACTGTCGCAAATGCACATAGGCTCTATCTTTGTTTGAGACACTCATAAAAATGTTCTGAATATCTCCTCATATATACCTTGTCACAAACTCACAAACAATCAAACTCTCATATAGACACTTGCACATATATCATCCTCATATACACCATGTGCTACACATGCGACAAAATTGTGTTGCGTGTAGGGGTGTTCATCGGTCTAAAACCGGACCGGACCGAACCGGACCGGACCGAAAACCGAACTATGCTAAAACCTAGACCGAAGACCGGACCTAAATGTAGTCGGGTTTGGACCGGACCGACCCGAAATCTTATGGACCGAACCGGTCCAGACCGAAAAAGACCGAATCCAGGTGTGGCCGGAATTGAAACTTTCCCCACCGGCAAAACCGTAGGTGTGAAAAATTGGGAGTTTTGCAATCCCGAACCAAATGCTGCAATTGAGGAGTCAAGGTGGGTCGTAAAGATGTCAGGAAGATGCCTGGGTGGGTGCGCGACGTCAAATTTGCCGGAGGTGGCCGGAATCTGCAAATACAACCGCCGTGACGGGTCGCAATTGATTCACAGCGATTCCAGCGTCCAAATCCCACGATGCTGGTGGTGATGGGGTCGTATGGACCTCAGGAGGCGTTTGGGAGTGGAGGGGAGGCTCACTGCTGCGTGTGGTGGCCGGAGCAAAATTGCCGCTACGAATCTGCGAACGGAGGGTCAGTGATTTGCGCCTTTGGAGTTGATTGGCCGATTGCCGATTATGGGAAGTGAATCTGCAATGGGAGAAAGGAGATTTGGAATTGTATTTGAGGTGGAGAATTTTTGGAAAAGTGGGAAGAAGATAGAATGGTGATGGCCTCACTGGTCTCGATCTTTTAGAATTGCTCCGTAAAATTATTGGTCTCGGTCTTTTAGGTCTGGACCGAATGATATTCGGGTTTGGACCGGACCGGACCGAAACCCGAAATTGTAAAATTGGTGGACCGAAGACCGACCCGAAATCCAATCGGTCCGGATTCGGTCTGGACCTATCGGTCCGGTTCGGTCGGTTTTTTCGGTCCAGACCTAAACATGAACAGCCCTAGTTGCGTGTGTTATGTATGTGCAAGAGTTTGGTTGGTTGTGACCCGGTGCATATATGTTTGTGTGAGCGTAAGATAAGCTACAATGTCTATGAGTTTGTGATGAATGAGGATTTGATGTAGAACATGAGAAGCACTCAATGTTGAAAATGAGAAGCACAATAATAGATTCCAATCTCATGTGCATCATTAACATGTGGAGATTTGTTGTTCCACTAGATTTCAAAAACCTACGATAAAATAAATTTACATTTGGCAGTATCTATTTTTCATATTTTAACAATGAATGGAAACTAAATGAATTCCACTACAATTAAATTTAACTAACCTTTAGTGGTAAGAAAACAAGGATAACAATGATGAGTGGCCTTTCGAGACAACGATGATGAAGAGATGAAGTCATACACGGGTGGTGATTTAGAAATAGAGGTAGTCGGGGAGAGCCAGCAGTGATGAAGATACAAAGGTGGTGATGAAGAGACAATTTGAAAGGAAGAAATTGGAAGCATCTCAAGAACAAAAAATTACCGGGAGTGGGAAGAAGCGGTGCTAGGGTAACAATCCAGGTGGATTACATGGTAAGATATTGAGGGATTTTTTATGGAATTAGATTTGAAGTGTATTTAGCACTAGGCATGCTGGTTTAACTATATTAGTTACCCTTAACTTGGTTTAGATTTTTTTTGTTGAAAAAGTACACAAGTAATGCAAATGAGATTTTTTTTGTTAATTGTGACCATATTTTGGAGGAAAAAGTTTTCAAATATGTATCTTTCCTTTTTGGTACAAGAGTAATAACATTGCTAACTTGACACTGATTGATCATTTACAGACTGTTGTGCGAAAGACTAAAACATCAACTCCCTAACCTATTCTGTTTCTACACTTCTCTTATGAGCTGTGTAGTTTAGCTTAATTTTAATTATCATAATTTGTGTTTATCCCAGTGTTGCAGTAATGACCAGAGCTTACCCTGAATATAGTGGGCAACAACATGAGTTGATTCTTGTCCAGCAAATAGCAAGCTACTTGCTTCTTGCATGTGGTGCCATTTATGTCCTATCAGTAAGTTTAACAGGCCTTTCTAGTACCTAAATACTCAAACAGTTTGAGCGCACAACAGTGGAAGTGGATCCTTTGTCATATCACAGTGGGATCCATAGCCGCTACCTTGCATCTCGACTGGTGGGGTCTATGTTGATTCGAGGCTCTCCAGGCAACATGCCTGAGCTTGTATGCTTGCGTGTTTTGAAGCAACTATCTGTGCAATCCTTATCCTTTATCTTGTTTAGGGAAGAAATAGAGGAGAGAGAAATTGGCAAGAGAGGGAGGAGAGCGAATCGGTAGTAAAACACAGTAGAAATATGTAGAAATTGTGGAGGGAATGCACATCTCTCCTATTTATGTCAATGAGGGAGAAGAAACGAAAACAGTGTTGAACACTTTTCTCCCATTTCTATCATAACCAAACAAGAGAAAGTTTACATTTGTCTCGTAGTTATCTCCTCCCTATTTCTTCCCAACCCGACACAGGCTAAATCTCATTGATCCCTTTCCATCTTTCTCTACTTCTGTGCGTAGATCTCCCAACCAGACTCAGAGAAACCACACCTTATTGAATTGAGTGTGAAAATATATATTTCAATATTTGAGTTTGATTCAGTGGCCCACTTTGATAATTCAGAGCCCTTTCATGTAATTTCATGTCACATGTTATGGTCTTAATTTGGGTTACTTAGTTAATTCATACGATGTACATTTCTGTAATTGATTTAAGAATTTTCTGTTGCAACAGATGTCAACCTTTCAAAAGTAATTATGGCCCTTCTCCATGTTTAAAAAAATACTTCCCCGCCCCATAAAAAGATTCTAGTTTCACAAAGGTATAACCTTTTATTTTAGTTAGGTATAACTTTTGCCAATTGTTAGGTAGAGGGCGTATAAAATGACACCAGTTACACACTAGTTTCTTACACCAAATAGTTTGGGGCACCTACAACGCTCTGCTGGGAAAAATGATGGTTCCTACCCCCAACCTCCCCCTAAACCCCTGCCCTAGCCCAACCCACCTTCTGCCCCCATTGGGATTTTTTTGAAAAAGAAAACGTCAAATATGATGAAGCTAAGTTTCTTTTGTTAAGTATTACTTCTTTTTTAAATCGAAAATAAGTTCTCAAAAATCACTCTTTTTATGGGTCAAGGGAGTAATTACTCCCTCCGTCCCACAATGGATGCCTTTGTTACTATTACGGCCTCTCGATAACTTTTGTTTGTATATATTGATTGATCATTTGATAAAATTAAAATTCTTGTCACATTTTGTTTTGTTGAACTTTTGATGTGTACTTTTGTGTAGTGTAATTTGTCTTTTTTATTTCTATACAAATTTATAATTAAAATGATATTAAAAATGATGAGATTTTGCATGTTGTTCGGACAATGACATCCATATTTGGATGGAGGTAGCATAAGCTAATGGGGGGGAAGGCATTGATACATTTCAGCACCTTGTGACAGTTGAGCTCAGTTTATTGATGTGGTTTTTGATTGTTCCACCTCATATTTTACATTAAAGCTTTCTCTTTCAGGGAATATTATGCATTGGGTTTCTCAAACGGGCTCACCAGAATAAAGAAATTTCCAAGGAGCAAACAATTATGGATCTGGAGGTAATTTAGCAATAGGATGTGCTTAGTTTATCACAGAAACCCAGGTTCCAATTTTCTTGGTGCTGAACAATATGGTTAATGACATTTACTTCATTTTTTGGATCCTGGGAAAAGAAATGTGATGATGAGGGAAGTTAATTTTCTTTTTATGTTTTGTTTTACAATGAAAAATGCTCAGGAACATCAAACATGGGTAAAAAAGAGAACTTTTCAACACGCTTTGATTTGCTTAGCCTTTATATTGGTCATAAATAAATACCACTTCGTGCCCAAATTGAATCAACAACAACAACAACCCAATTAAATCCCACAAGAGTAGGGTCTGGGGAGGGTGTGTGTACGCAGACCTTGCCCCTACTCGAAAGTAGAGAGGTTGTTTCCAAAGAGACCCCCGGCTCAACGTCGAAAGTTGCATTGCTTGACTAACTGCTACTTCATTAATTAAAGAAGCGCAGACAGTTTAGAGATCTATTTTGATTTATTCCATCACACCCCAAAGCCAAAAAATGGTGAAATTTTGGCTCCATCGGAGATGATGGAACCATAGATTTAATCATGGAGTTTTAGAGAAGTACATAAAAGTGAAAAGTATGTGGTTAGAATTTGTTTGGAAGAATAAAAAATGTTGGGAAGTACATATTCCTTTCCCTAAATTAAATTTGGATGTAAACATCGAACTGGCTTATGTTGGGTTTCTAAATTACATTTCAAGTTGCCAACATCTCACTTGACTCAGTCCCTCATATTTTATACTCCGTATAGTTATAACATTCAGAAGTCGTGTGTGTGTGTGTACTTTGTTTGTCAAGTTAACTTTAAAATATTGAAAATGAAAATTAAGAACTCATGTCCTAGTGTGTTGATTGTGTTTTTCAAGGAAACTTTAAAATATTGAAAATGAAAATCATAAAATAGTTCAAAGATCATAGAGTAATGTTGTTTTACATAATTTCTTGCGACAATTTTATTTGATTTATACAATCTTGGACACAATTAAGTGTATTATATTTAGATAGATTTATTGAGACTGAATATATTGCAAGTACTTGTAAGTTGTAACCATTTATTACGGAGTAGTATATTATTTGTAAAAGGATGCAGAGGAAAAGCATACACATGGCCTGGTTGGTAAGGTGTATGATGGAACTTAATTCCACTGACTCACAAACTCTCCTCTTAAGAATTATGGAATACGAATGCTTATAGAAACAAGAATGTTGAACTCAAGAATCAATCGGAAATACTTGCTCATTCATTTGCCTTGGAGGATTATTTATAGCTTCCTTTGTTTCCTAATCGTGATCCTCTTTTCATGGGATCTAATTGGGTCTCATAAGGAAACTAGGTAAACAGCTCCCCATGTTTCCGACCCTAGCAGCTCACGGCTCCAGCCCGTTAGTACACGCCTCATGATCCGGCAGATCAACCTTACCCGCCCATCAAGCTCATGGGTTGTTGACGAGTTTGGGCCCAATGCACTTAGGCTATAACTCGGACACATATATTGGGCTAATTACATGGATATCTATTTATCGGCCCAATATACCTTCAGTGTGATTAAAGTATTACTAGTACAGCTGTAATGAAATACACAAGAGCTTGTTTGGATAAAGCTGGAATTTTATTTATGCACGATAGACATATTGTGAGAAGTGCTCTATATTGTCCAAATGGATTCAAGAGCTATAAACGTTTCCCCATCATCATGTTTTTACGTTTTCTTTCTTTGCCCTTTATTTTGTAGTTTAAGCGGGTGTATTTTTACCCTGGTTTGTAGCTTCTGGTTGTGTGCTTTGAGTCTAGTTACTATTGCTGGTTTACTTTGTCTCTTGGAAACATGATCTCTACATTCGAGTAGGGGCAAGGTGTGCGTACACACAACCTCTCAAGACCCTACTTTTTTGTGGGGTTTTACTGTGGCAGTTGTTATTTGCTGCAGTTGCATTATGCAATTGAATAACCACTACATACGCATATTATCCATTTCAGGCTCTAGAGCGTCGCAGAGAACAGCTTACAGCCTTATTGGCGCAAGAGAATCCATAAGAATATGGAGCCATCCTTAATGTGAACAATTTTGAGAGCTTCACAACACTGCCCAAACAAGTCTATTAACTGCTTGCAACTGCCCTTTTACATATATGAATGAAGTCTCTATGCCTCTACGGTACATGTTCATGAATTATTAATCCTTTATGTCTTCTTTTCTATTTGGGGCTACTATGGTGTCTGAAGAGAACTGATAGTGTGCAATTAGGATATGAAGAATACCTACTGGCATGCTTCTTATGCACACACACGCAATACATGAGTATGACCTTCTACCTCTGTCTCAAAGCGTTTGTTCAGTTTGATTTTTTTTTGAGTCAAAATGGACGGGGGGAGGAATATTAGGCTCTTCAATTCCCTGACATTGTTCCATTTTACAGATATATTCCTGTTTTGGTTACGTTGCACTTTTTTTTACTGGTCTTAGTACTACGTATTCAATGGTGCTAAACCGTTGCTTCTAATGAAGTTTTAGGTAGTAAATGCAGTAATGCATCAACGGTTTAACGTCGTCTACCTGTAAGATCTTACTAGAGTAAGACTTCGTATATCTTGACCCCTAGACCTCAACGATGTTGGGATTATATACTGGGTTTTTGTTGTAGAGCAGATCTGCATTTACAAGTCAGATTGAGGTAAATGATATTTACACTCAAAAATATACTATTCATGGGATAGATGCGAGTACTGCATTTTTGAGTGCCAATATAAAGAATTGCATTTTTGTTAGCTTGTTTTCTTCATTCTTTTGTACACTTTGGAATTAAATAGTCATTTCCTTATATACTCCTAATAATTCATGTGATCTTTACACGTGGGCTTACATTTTGGGTGCGAAAAGAGCCAAATAAGGGACTTTAGGTCGAATTTCAAAGTCTGGCCCGTGTAGCATTTTAAAACGACCAAATTAGTTTATATACATAAAATTAAAGTAATATGGTCCTCGCACTATTCTTTTTTTTTTAAATCCAATTTTGGTTCTTTACTTTTATCCTTATCTACTGTCTTGAACTTTTTAGGGTGTATAAAGAGAGTGTTTGATTTTAAGAAATTAGCTTCTCGCCTTCTGTTTTGAGTGATAGTGGTTTTATACTGTTTGACATGTCAGCTTTTGCTTTTCTTCACTATTATTTTGGACACAAAACGCTAATTTCGAAGAAGCAATTATAAGGTGTTTTTGGTATCAACTTTTGTAGAAATCATTTTATCCCTACTTATCACTCACAAACACCCTCAAAATTTTGCTATAGATATGAAAAATGCATACAAAAAGCGATTTTATTCATATAGTTTTCCACAGAAAAAATCAGTAAAAAAATTCATATTGCACTGGAAAAAAAGTTTGTTTTTTTTAATTTAGTAGGAACCATTATGTCAAGATTACATTTTCATGTGATCTAAAATAACTCACATGTGCCGTCTAAGAATACAGTAGGTAAGGATTTAAGCAAACAGATGCGCTTTCTCATGATGATAAATTTGATACTCCGTATTTAATACTAGGTGTTATCTACTGTAATTTTTTTTTAATAACAAGATGAAGAATTGAGGGAGGGTCTAAACTCCTCTTTGTTGGCCATGTGGAGAGAAGTGAATACTCATTGTATTGGACATCAAAACTTTTGTTTTGCCTAATGATTTTTGGTTCAAAACATTTTTAATTAAATACTCTCTCCATTCTAAATTAAATCATCTGCTTACTATTCAAATCTTCAAATTTTATTCAATTTCTTATTCTTATTTTCGTTACTCAATTGATTGAATAAGATAGTCCTGACACTACTAGTTTTTTAAATTTTTTTATATAGTTTTTGAATATGTAACTTTTTAATTCTACAATATTTTTTATTTGAAAGTAATTTTAATCAAACATTATAAATCAAAATAGATGATTTAAATTGAGATTAAAGATAGTATATTTTAAAGTTATTATAAATTAAAAAAATAAAAATTATAGAGTATGTGTTAAAAATATGGAGTGTGTAAAATTATTTACAAAATGAGTTGTAACTTAACCGATTCAGTTTATCAACCAAATAATGAAATTGCCTATAGAAACAACAATTGATATATCAATAAAAAAAATTCATTTTTTAAAACTATTTTATTTATAAATTGATATATCAATAAAAAATAAAATGACATAATAAAAATTGCATCAAAAGTTCTATAAATTGAGATCACAATTAAAGAGTCCCACATATAAGTGATTTGGTGATAGGGAGAGTTTATAAATATATCATCCAAATCTAAAGTACACCATGTGGGATTACATTGAATTAATAATGACTTGTCTACCACACAACAGCTCTTTTTCAGTTTGCTAGACAGAAAATTAAGTCTTGTCCTACACAATATTTAATGGTACCATCATCATCATCATGTGATGATGCATGCACATATTAACATATACATATACATATATGCCTTTGCATATAGTGAGGTTGTAGCATTCTCCCATCTCTTCATATCCTCGCATCAATTGGGGAAGGGTAAACTGGAATTTTAAATATTTATATTTAGCAAATTATCTATGAATTAGCTCGAAATAAAATAATACTATCTCCGTCCCAAAAAGATTTACACGTTTTGACTAAAGTTAAAATTAAGGAAGAAATAATTTTGTGTTGACTTTCCAAAAATATCCTTGATGTGATGGGTAAAAGTAGAATGTGATGTGTAGATTATTAGGAAAAAGGCATGATGTGATAGGTAGGATTTGAAAAAGTAAGGGGTAAAAGTAGTTTTTAATAGAAATAGGTAGGAAATTGTAGGATACAATTTTTTTGAAAGGTATAAATTTTTTTGTGACGGAGGGAGTAATATATACTCCCTCCGTCTGAAAATTTTCTTCCCGTGTTGACTTGGCACGCTTATTAAGGAATAGTAAAAAAATGCAAAATTTTCAAAATGCACAAACTATAAACTTTTAAATCTTCTTTTATTATTAAAAAAGTATTAAAAAAGTAGATTTGTGATAAAATAGAAGAGTATTATTGATATTTAGCCTTAAAAAGCATACTAAAAAAGGAAATGGGAAGATTATTTCCGGACGGACCAAAAAGGAAAATGGGAAGAATATTTCCGGACGGAGAGAGTAATAAAAAGTACTACTCCGTATATACGTACTAATAAGAAACTGTTTTAGAAATTTTAAAATAATTTCAGCTAATGTTTACTCTAATTTTTTTATATTTTACTTTTTGATATATTTTACTTTTTGATGACAATCAACTTAAATTTTTTGCTTATTCAAACTAATTTATTATACAAGATCGAGTCAATCTCATAAGCCAATTAAGCAAGTATCAACTTGCTTATAGCAGTTATACGAGTAGTTTATTTTAATTTTTAAGTACGTATTTAAATGTTATAATTACAAGTAAAAAAACAAATTTAAGGATATACTCCCTCCGTCCCAAATTATAATGTCTGTTTACTATTCACAGGGTCAAACTTCATTCACTTTCTTTCTCTATTTTCGTTAGCAATTTGATAAAATAAAATATTCTTGTCACTACCAGTTTTGTAGATTTTTTGATGTAGTTTTTTAATATGTAATTTTTATTTTTTAATTCTATACCATTTGTCATATAAAATGGTTTGAAAATAATTTTAGTCAAACATTGTAAACCGAAACAGGCGTTATAAAATGGGACGGAGGTAGTAATTGCTTATACTCTATTTTGGTAGAAGCAGTTGAAAGCACTCACTATTTAGCTTGGTACGTGGATGAACACAAGGAATATGCATCCAAAAAAATACGGAGTATCTAGTTATATAATGAGTTAGGTAGATTGTCACTCTCACAAAGAACATTAAATAAATAAAATCTTTTTAAGATATGTTCACAAGAGTTATATGTGTTAATGTGTAATTTAATTCTTTCAATTAAAAAAAGACTTGATAAACAAAAAATAATACGTAAAATAAGATTAATTTGTTCAAATTAACGAAAAATGTCAAAGTCACAAATCTAACCCACTCGGTGACAAACCACAAATCTAAATCAATACTCATAATTTTCTCAAGATCAAAGCCTTGTTTGGGAGTAATATTTTTTAATTAGCGTTTTGAATAATTTTTTAATAATAGCGAACAACTTTAAAAACTCTCTCATTGAATAGGAGTAACTTTTTCAAAACCATAAGAGTAGATATTGAAAAGGTTGCCAAACAGACCTTGTTCTTTTTTGTTGGAATTTCAGAGTTGGATGTTAAAAAAATTTAGTAAGAGTTGGAAAAAATTAGAAAGAGTCGAAAAGTATTAGAAGAATTAAAGTGTTCAAAAGTCATCCAGTTAAATATGTTAGAAAACTCTAATTTCGGATAAGTGTTTGAGGTGACGTGTTTTAAATTTGGATATATAATGTTATTGTATATTCATCATATATAAACACTTTTTTAAGTCGTTGAAAAAAACTGAAAAAAATAAGAAAAAACTCCAAAGATCTAGAAAAAGTTAAAAGCTAATTTCTCCAATCGAGAAGAATGTGAAGTATTTTTCAGGCAATCTAACCCTTTACTATCCTTGTAACTATATTTTACAGGACAGACTTTTTTTAGAAATGTTTGGTGAACATCCACTTGGGATACATCACATGTAGACCAAGTCTAAAATAAGCACACACAAGTCTATGTGCGCACAAACATTAAATGTTTGTGTGTGCCTATTTTAGATTTGATGTACATGTGGTGTATCCCAAGTGGTGTTCTCCAAGCAGTACCCCTTTTTTAACTATGAATACTAAAAAAAATCGTGAACAGTCCTCTTTCATTTTTCTCTATCTCTAACTCAAGATATATTTCTCTCACTTTTCTTCTTCATATATATAGTGTTGTTCGATCCTGACATTCTTACCCTTAATTAATTACTCCCTCCGCTCGCAAAAGCACTTCCTTTTTCTTTTTTTCCACTTCCAACAAAACACTTCCCCTTTCTATTAAAAAACTACTTTTACCTTTACTTTTTCATACCCTACCTATCAGATCATACTTTTTCTCTAATAACATATCCATCACATCTTACTTTTACCCATCACATCAAAGGTAAAATTGAAAATCAACTATAATTTAACACTTCCTTATTTTCGCCCTAAATCAACTAAATGATGATTAAATATTGAGTGAGAATGCATACCCCAACTTGAGGGTAGTATCGGAAATTTTGTGGTAATCCCTCATATTGTCAAGTAACATGCAACACCCACTTGTGACTGAATCAGAAGAGTGCACTATCTGCATTCGCAAAATAAAATTTAATTAATTCTACATCATATATAATAATAATAATAATGGTATAATAAAAATATTAGTAATAATAATAATAATACTACAAGTATAATAATGCTGTATTTTGGATAATTTCTAATAATATTTTTTTATTGATTGTGATAAGGTGGTGAATACATAAATTTTAGATGCCCTGAAAAGGGAAAAACAACTAATACTAAAAGAAATCGATTAATAAGTACTTCAGATCGTTGCTTCAACTCGGAATTCTCTTCCATTAATTTAGCTTCCTGTAGATAATTTTTGACAAATTAAATATAATCAATTCAACCACGAGATTATTTTATTAATTAGGACATGAATTATTAATGATCAAATACTACTAGTAAATAAAGAAAACGGTGTACTAAAATCAATTTTAGTTCTTCTAGAATTTTTTAAAAATAAGTTGAGTTCAATTATTTTAGGTACTACCCTTAAAATCCTTCCGCTCTCGTTTTTTTTTTCAATTCCCTAAAACACTTCCACTTTCTTTTTTAAAAAATCATTTTTTCCCTACTTTTTTTTGTCCTACCTGTCACATCATACTTTTTAATTTTACTAATAACAATTCTATCACAGCTTACTTTAACCAAACACATCAGGGGCAAAATTAGAAAGTCAAACAAAATTATATTTTCCTTATTTTGGTCCAAAGTCAAAAGGGAAAGAGTTTAAAGGAACGGAGGGAGTAAAACTTAAAAAAACAGTCAAATTTTGTTATTCGTAAGTGAACAATTAGTGTTCTTTGAGCTTCTCGTTTAACTTGAGCGGTTGGTTGGTAAGAAGTTTACTCCTAGAGAAAACTATGAACATATATTGCACTATACTTCCTAATCAAATGAATAGAGCTTCATTTGGTATACAGAATTCAAACTATGGAATTGAAATTCCGGACTACTACTCCAATTATGCTGTTTGATAGCGCAAAATTACGTGGAATTTGAATTGAATGTACCTAAAATAAATATGAATTGGAGAATTCAATTGCATTCAAATCAACTCCACATGATTTTTCAATTCACAATTCAATTTCGTCAACGGAGGAATAATTTTTACTCCCTCCGCCCCTAAATAAAGTTCCTGTTTCGTTTTTTCTTTGTACCCAAATAAACTTCTCTTTTCCCTTAAAAAATCCCTTTTACCCCTTACTTTTTCATACCATACCTATCACATCATACCTTTTAACTAATAATCTACATATCACATCTTACTTTTACACATCACATCAAGGGTATTTTTGGAAAGTCAACACAAAAATATCCCTCCCTTAAATCCTCAAAAAGTCAAAAACGAAAATTTATTTAGGGACGGAAGGAGTATATTCCTATATCTGGGTGATGAAAAAGGTTTACTTTTCAAATTTGGATAAAAATTTTCCACTTTTTTCAACCATACAATTTCTTGATTATGGACAAGTAGCTAGTAAAAAAAACCCTAAACGAATCTAGTGTTAGGAGCTAGGTAAAAGTAGTACGAGTAGATTGATATAAATAGCTATCAATCTATCAAAATACAAGCTACTATATATATATATATATATATATATATATATATATATATATATATATATATATATATATATATATATATATATATATATATATATATAGAGAGAGAGAGAGAGAGAGAGAGAGAGAGAGAGAGAGATATACCTGTTTCTTGAGAAGATTAACTTGTTCCATTAGTATTTCAACCTGAAACATAGTACAATTATGCAGAGCCGTCGTTATTACCCCCTCAGTAATTACAGCAACACTTCATACTTTTACAGCTATATATGTCTAGTGTAGTATAGTATCCACACTCTTTAAAAATTAATTAAAAAAATAAATAATAAAACTTAGAAAACAAGCCAAGCCATATAAAAATCTAGTTCTCAAACTTTATCAAATTACTCCTTTTGCCTCGAAATAAAATTTACACTTTGTTTTTTCAAGTTTACCTTTTTCCTCGTGACCCGACGGAGTCCACCGTCGATAAGTCTCTCAAGTTTAATCAACTCCGCCATCCCAACTTCCTCGAGGTCTTCTCCTTTGAGTTGCCTGTCTTGCACATGTACGTTACGACATCGCCGTTACTGTTTTAATCTATTATATTCAATCTTTTTTACTCCGTATTTAATTTATATTTTTTAAGGAAAATCTATAAACAAGAGTTTGGTTCTTTTGATATCATGTTATGTTATTGGTTAATTCAGGACACCTACAATACCCCGTTGGATCAAAAATTGTTATTAATCTCAAAATCTGCACCAATCGTGGCCAATCAAGATTTTGGAGAGAGGATTGAGGAGTTTGGAGGTAGGAATAACTTCTTCCACTTCCAGGCACAAGATTTGAAAAAGGGTAATAGTTCATCGAATTTCTCGTAATGAAAATGAGTGAAGTGTATTCAGGTGATGAAGGATTTCTCTATGCGCTTATAAACATATTTAAAAGCTGCTTATAAATTTAAAAAAAGTATGCTTTATCAACTTATCTTTAAGTCAGTTTTTTTATTTTTTCCGTTTTGATCAAATTATTTACAAAACTATATTTAAGTCATTTTAATTCCATGAAAGAATATACATTTAATTTAAAAATAGTTTGTAAGTTAGAAATTGCTTATAAGGTACAGAGAAACACCCTCTAAATAAGGTAAGTGAGACATAATAAATAAAGAAAATGAGAACAATTGTGTTATTTCAAATATTAAAAAAGTAATAGAAATATCTTTTCTGACTAAAAATTGGGAATTTGGGAAGATATTTCCCAGACAGTACTGAGAGTACTCGGTATAATGTTGAATGTCAGTGTCAAAGGAACCATAATGAAAAATAATATTGCGGAGATGAATTTTAATGGTGTTCCAAAATCATCTTATTTTATGTGGAAATTTTAAAAGAAATATTTGCACTAAATAACACTAAAACTTAAATCATTTCCCAAAATAGCATTCTAACTGTTTTATTCTCTAAATAGTAAATGTCAAACATTTACTTGAATAATGACTAATAGATGATGACTAAAAGTGCTACATTAGAAAAAACACCCGTAATACTATTTAGAAAAAATCATTACGGTGTATGTTTTAGTGTTAGTAACGCAAATTCTCCATTTTAAAAAATAAAAGGACAATTTTACCCATCATTCACCCTATAAATTCTACTCCATGGGGAAGAATAATTAACAGGAAAGGACGGTACGGTAAGTCGGTAATAATCTAATCAATACCTCAACTCGCGACTCTTATCGGTAAGTTCCTTGGTAAGCGCGGCACAGGTTACACTTTCCCTCTGCAATTTAAACAAAATAATAATTAAATATCAAGTACATTATTATTATTAATTATTATAATTATAATTATTAGTTTTATTATTAATAGTTTAATTTTTCTTTTTATTTCTATTATTATGAGTATCATTATTATTATTATTATCATTATGATTTACGGAGTATTAAACTTAATATTTCATCCTAAAAATCTTCTAAACCCAGATGGCAAGTTTTTTTCTTTTTGAAAATGCCAAGGCTTTTAATTACGCTTCATTTATTAATTTTGATGTTAAAATGTGTTTTACCCCCAAAAAAAGTTAAACAATTTGTTACTGCAAAATCAAATATTTTGCAGGGATGATTTGAATAAAGATGTTTGAGAGGAACTAGTAGTAAATATCATTCATTAATATCATTCATTTCACAGAGACCAAAAATATATTAACTTCTTTTTCATTTTTAGGCAAAAAAATACTCACTCCGTTCCTTAAAACAATTCTGTTTTGACTTGAGAGAGATTTGATTTCATAATTTGACTTTCTAATTATACTTTATAGATACCCTGGAATGGGGGTATCCGGCCCAACGGAAATAGCGGCCCAACCCGGCCAGGCTCAAGCCCACTCAACTGGGCGAAACGGAAAAGAAACTAAAGTCTCAAGAGGGTCCCTGCCGCGTCAAGATGCACTCGGCCCCGGTAGACACGATCAACCTCGGACCACCCTCAGCCGACCTTTTGTCAGGGGATTTCAGGAAGCAGATCACGTGTGCTCAGCCTCGGCCTAAGATGCTACCAGACCGAGACCACAGGCATGGAAGCTGCCTAATCAGTCAAGTCAGGGGACCACAATTGGACCCCTGCCACGCTTCCGTCAGAGTAGTTTTAGTCACCCTACTTGTAGCCTATTTTGTATAGTCGCCCTAGGGATAATGATGTGGTTGGCGCAGCCGGTTAAACGGCCAAATCTTAGTGGGCCCGATCTGTTGGACTATGAACCAGCGGATCGGGAACCCCATTTGTAGTTGTATATAAGTCCTTTCTCGAGAGAGTGAGAGAGGGAGACATGTTCTCTTGCACACTAATATTTACAATCTTACTTGATTCCCAACTTGTACACCCTTGACTCAATTCGATATTCTTTCGCCTAGTCTCCTAGGCCCCGGGTTCCTTAACCCAACAATACTCTTATTATCGAAGAAAAAAGGACAAATCATTAAAATGACTTATTATATCAATACAAATTGAATGGAGTATATTGTAAAAACTTAATTTAAATATATTAGCCATTTTTTTACAAAAAAGGAAGTATTTTTGGAAAAACGAAAAAAATGAAAGAGGAACTATTTTAAGGAACGGAGGGAGCATACGTTAGGGGTGAAAAAAGGGATAATATTTTCAATTCACAATCGTAGAGTGTGATTAATTATTGTGTTGGAGACCCCACATCGAAAAATAAAGATGAATACTACTAGCATATTGCATATATAAAAGGGTGAAACCCTAGCTAACAACTTAAGTTTTTGGGCTAGAATAGTAGATCCTGACTTTATATGCAAGTACCTAATTATACCCGACACTCTACTCGTTGTTCTCGACTCACTGGAATTTTAACATGGTATTTGAGCTAGGTTCGGTTCGGGTTCGATTCCTCCTACTTGTTGTACGTAGGTTTAGCAAAAAACAAAAAAAGTTACCCGTCTATGCATGCTAGTAATATTCATTTTTATTTTTCTATATGAGAACTTCAACAAATTGTGTATGAATTGATTAAGGCCCCGTTTAACATCAACTTTAGAAGTTATTAGTATTATTTTTTTTTAAAGGCTCTCTAACAATAACTTTTAGTGGCCAAATAGTTCCAGTGTCGCATGTGATTTGAAAAATTGATATCAATACCCCCTCTGTTTTCAAAATTTATTTATAAAGTTTTCGTGGTTTCAAAACGTTGCACCCACAACTCCTTCGATCATTTCCCGGTCATTTTTGCTGCGAAGAGGCATCATTGATGCTTATTTTCTAAACCATTGGGGGCACATACACTCATTTCTTATATTTTGTTTGTTACTTTGTTTTTTTCTTTTTTTTTAACTTTTTTTATCTCTTTGTTTCCATTTTCTAGAATAGATTTTAAAATTTATTTTAAATTTTTATAAAGTTTTAAAAATTCAATATTCTATCTCTTTGAAATAAAAATTAAAAAATAACATATACTCCACCTATCTCAAATTAAACATTTTAACTTTTATTTTCTATAATAAAATTTTTGGTGAGTTCAATAATAAAATCAAAAATAAAAAAAATAAAAATATGGAAAAACAAAATGAAAAAAAATTAAACATCTAAAAAAAGAGTTATACAAAAAGGAATTTTTGGAACACCTAAAAAGGTATTTAGAATCGGAATGTTCAACGAGGATATTCATTTTTATTTTTTGTTTTATTTTATTTCTTACTCCCTCCGTTCCACAAAACCCTTCCGATTTTGACTTTAGGGAAAAATAAAAAAAAGTGTAATTTTGGTTGACTTTAGGGAAAAATAAGAAAAGTGTAATTATGTGATAGGTATGGTATGGAAAAATAGGGGTAAAAATGGTTTTTTAATAGAAAGTGGAAGTGTTTTGTGGAAAGCAAAAAAAACGTAAGAGGAAGAGTTTTGTGGAACGAAGGGAGTATTTTATTCCTCATTTTTTGAAATTTTCAAAATAAGTCTTTAATTTTTCTATTTTAGAAACCAAAATATAAAAATTGTTAACTTAAGACGTACAGATGCTGCATATGTTAATTTTTTTCAAACAAAAATAATTTTAAATTGTAAGAGTATTATAAAAACAATTTAAAAAAATTTAAAATATTATATATACCTGGACATTGGGAAGTGGTTGATGCTCATTCTCAACACTCTCCAAGTACATGTTGTGCTTTGCAATCACTCCCTCCATGCTTTTATAATATAGGTATCCATTATTAATAAAACATAACCAGTATTACTTAATTATGGAATAAAAAATTTATTTTGGAACAAACTAAAAAAAAATGCCTTATTTATTTTTACAATTATAATGGTTCTTTTAATTTGAATTTATTTTCAATTTACCAATTAAAAAAACTTGTGTGGAGATAAAAAAAATCTTTATATTTAAAAAATTGCATGAGAAGGCATATAAACTTTCTTATTTTATCTATCCAGTAAAACATTTTAATTTCACTAAAATGGACTAAGATACCCCTCTTTAACCCTATTTTTCCCAAATCACATCTCATCTTACATTTTGTTTTTTAATTACTCCTCATAATTCTTAATTATTCATTAACGTGAAATGTCATTTTTGAAAAAGAAATCTTACACCTCTTTAAATTACCCAAAAGTCAAAATTGGAAAACTTTTATGGGACGGTGGCGGCGGCGGGGGCAAACCTGGGAGAGGCATAGTGGAAGAGTTTTCCGGTGGCGGAGAAGACGACAAGGCCGACGTCGACGTCGCAGAGGGTGGAGAGCTCCTTGGCTTTCTTGAAAACCCCTCTTCTCCTCTTTGAAAATGTCACTTGCCTTGCTGTCAAATTCTCTATCTTCTTTATCTCTATCTTCTGTCTCACCATTTCCCTTACTTTTCTTCTTTAGGGTTTTTCTATGACTAATAAACATTATTATAAATTATACCAAGATAACTCAGATCTCTGATATATAATAAGAAAAGAAAAAAAACAGAACACTTTTGTATTTACCTATACTCACATGCATCAATATCAGGCCTCGAAAAACAAAAAAAAATAAAATTGGTTGGGTCTGAAATTTACACTTTGAACCATATTTTATTATTTTAAAATACTTATGCTTCAAAATTAATGACGACTTTAAAAATATAGACTCCTAAAATTTTAGTTGCCATGTGCGGTTGGCTACTTTGCACACTCTCCTGGCCAGCCATGTCAATATACCTCTTGATCATCATCTATTAAGATTCAACTATGTTAAGACTATGTTTGGCCACAAAAAAAACATTATTTCACCACTCTCCATCCCATATCTTTCTTACTCTTTTAGTCTTTTTACAATTTTGGTCAAAATTTTTAATTAAAATATTACCTCAAATAGTCAAATCTTTAAAAAAATACTCCGTATATAATTTTAATAATAATACTCTCTCCGTCACATATAACTTTTTACTATGAAAAAATGTGTGATTTGAAGTATGTGCAAATTAGATGCAGTGTATCTTTCTCAATTTATATTTACTTTATTGTGGATCAGAGTAAGATAAAATAAGGCGTGATGAGTAAATTAATAGTGATCGAAAAGTGGAAAATGTACTTTTTGAGATAGATGAAATGTAAAAGTAGAAAAGTTTAATGGAGCACAGGGAAGAATTTCAGAGCGTAGGTAATTTTGAAATATCAAATTATTTAATTATATATATATATATATATATATATACATAATCAAAATATTACATTAGAGACTAAAAAAATGAAAAGAAAAGAAAGATATAGAAGACATAGAGCACTACTGGTATAATAATTAAAATCGTGTTTGGTAAACATTAATTTGGGCAACTTAAGTAGTTAAATTAATTAAGCTACTTTAAATTCAATAAATTAAATGCAGATAGATAGAGTTATGAGGGGAAAAAAATCTGAGTAAAAATCTTTGTGATTGAGATCTCTCAAACCCTAAAAGACCTGGAATATAAAGGAGTTGAAGAAACAATATAATTAAGGTCATTTTTCTATATGGAGCTAAAATCTTTATAAGAAAAATAAACTTTTCTCATATATCAAGTACTAAATCATTATAATAAGAAAATACATTTATTTTTTTTATTTACAAATTTTCTGATTTGAAAAGATCTATGGTGCAGCATAGCTCCATGATTTAAAAAAATATTAATCAAATATAGGAATATATTCATTTCATTTAAAAAGAATTGATTGAAGTGGGAAAAAATTAAAACTTGAAGAACAGATGAGAAGTAATTAAGAAAAATCAATTAAACAAACCTTGAGATCAAAAGATCAAAGCCCAGAGGGTAGAAATGGCGATGAAGAAGTACTCTTCAACTTTACCCAGAATTGAAGTTGGAAACTCATAGGAAACCCTAGAGAAGAGAGAGAAGATAGAGAAGAACAAGAATTTCCATTTGCAGAATAAAAAGGTTAAAGTGAGTGAGAATATTTATTTTAAATAAAATACTCTCTCTCTCTCTCTATCAATTGGTCCCAAATTAATTTTTGCACTTTGACTCCACAAAAAATATTTTAAAAAAAAAATAAATATTGAAAAATTATTCAATAAAATAATGAAAATCAAAATAATTATGCTAGACTTTGTTCAAGAAAATTACTCCATAAGTTTTCATTCCCTTTGTCTCAAAATAAGATTACTCGTTTCTATTTTGCAATGTTAAAAAATACTTGCACCACATTTAATCAACCACATAATTTTACTTTTCTTAAATTTCTTGTTTGACCAAATCACGACCTTTTAAATGAGGGAGAAAGACCAAAATAAAACTAAAACATTAAAAATATATCAAAATAAGACTTCCATGTTTTAGTCTTATTTAGGATGATTTCTATTTATTTGACCAATTCGTAATAAGAGTATCTTTTTTTGAGGAGAAGAATAAGAAATATTTTTTAAAAAATATATTTTAAAACTGAATTTAAAAAGAAGATGTGATTAGAAAAAGGGATTGGAGTAAACAGACATGGAACTAGGAAGGCACTGTAGTTGAAATTACCTCATTTGGGAAGGTAAAGATTCCATATTTGAGAGGGCAGGTGGGGGGTAATTAATTTATGTACGGACAGGGGGACCAGTTCTGCTAATCTTTTTAGGTTACATATTTGGCCAAACATTGGTGCCTAACTTAGCTTTCTTATTGGTTTCTAGTTCGATTATGCTATCTGTACCCCAATGTTTGTACCTCAATTTGTACCTCGCAGTTTTGCACCAATACTTTGTGTTGGTGTAAAACTAATTTTTATTAAACGTACCAACATTTGTGTCCGTGTGAATTTTTATTAACGCACCAACACTTGTGTCGGTGTAAACCATCGAAATGTTTGTACAAACCTGCGGTGTACAAATGAGGTATATTTTTTGGTGTAAGTGTAACATGGTCCTTTCTAGTTTACACTAGTTGATCACTTATATGAATGGATTTTTTGGTGCATACCAAAAATAACATATTCTTCTTTATTGTGAATGCCTATTTTAGAGTTTACAAGTAAACAAAGTGAATTTTGAATGTAGTAATTAATGTTAACTACTCCCTCCGTCCCACCCTACCCTAATCCCAACCCCGCCGTAAGCCCCTCACAAAATGTGTGACTATTATGCATTGCATAATAGTGTGACTATTTGTCCAGCGACGGCAGCCTTACTTTCACTTAGTTTGTTCTTCCTTTGATTCTAACTCCTTCATAATCCCATCTAGCATATATATATATATATATATATACCCAGCCAACCACAACCATTTGTTTTTAAATCCATCACTGCCGCTTCTTGATTTAAGATGAGACTATCACATCACCTTTCTCCATCGACATATCTTCAATTAACAAGCATCTATAACAACACTTCATTCGTTTTGTTTCTCCTCTAAATAAATTAGTCGTGGACGACTCCAGCGCGCGTCAACCTTCTCCCTCTTTCGACGTCAGCAACGTGAGTTTGTTCGCACCGGCTTTTCTCCTCTCCTCATCAGCACTGTCACATCTCTTTCCTAGCAATTTTTCTTTTTCTCTTCTGATCTGGGCCGGATGCATTGAATCTATGATATGGTATCGTATCGGGATATGGAAGTATTTCAAGCACTTTCGAGCTATGGAATTAGGGAAAAGGAAGAGAAGAGAAAATCGCACGACACTTTGTTCGACGGAATATAAGAACGAGAGAGAAGAGAAAGAGACTAGGGTTTAGGGAAAATGATTTCTTATTGATTGAATAATAAAATTATGAGTAATGGCTACATGTATAGATAGTAGATCTAGAGAATCCTAACCATACGAGGTAACTAAATAAACCATAATACTAATAATCTAATATAATTATACTTCCCAATAATAATATAATTATCTAACCATAAATAATAAAACTACATAGAATAATAATAATAGTAATATAATAATAATGGTAAATAACTAAATATAAATCCGTATCAATCTACTCTAGCTGAAGATATGCCTCTAGCGTCAAATTACAATTCTGGTCACGATTCGAGTAAAAGTTGTTGTTCAATCTTCACCTCCCAAGACGTTTGTAGCATGTTAAATATATTAATTATTTTAATATATTTAGTATTATATATTATAATTATGGTTGTTACCTATTATAGCTAGAGTTATTATTATACAATATTTTCTTATTTATCTAGCCATTAATATGGAGAATTCTAGAATACCCCAACTCCACCTATATATCCATTATTTTGTATTCCTTCAAATCATTCAATCAATATTGCATTAGTATATATATTCGGTTTAGGATTTTCGACATTGGAAGTTAGATCATATCATTCCCAAATACCGAATCAAACATCTAGTTTGGTACGGTTTGGTATTTTAGCAGATTTTTCGTTCTGGTTTTCTCATTTTTTAAAGAGTTTTCAGCATTAACGCGGTACTTGCTCATCCCTAATACTCTAATACGCCCCTCACGTGCAGGCGAGATTTATTTTTGCTCGAGTCTTGCATGTGAAAATTAATTTTTTAAGCAGGGTAGCGGTGAGGTTTGAACTTGTGACATCTTTGTCATCAAAGCTCTGATGTCATGTCAAGAAATCGATTCAACCAACTGCTCAAATTTACGATTATAAGCCGAAGACATACTGCATACTCTCACATACATCAAGTGTCTTTTGGCATGGTTGTATAAGTTATGCATCAATAGAAGTAACACCCGAGTTCAATTGATGAGAAATTCATAGAAAAACAACTATGCTAAGCATAAAGCTCTACAAGTACCAGTTGCAGACTTCATTTTTTACCATCAAATTATGATTGAAGCCTGATTTACCTTCTGTCGTCCGACTAATTCTAAGGGTCGTCGTGGATGGAGTTCATCCTTGGGCCGAGAGTGAGGGGCAGCGAAGAGGCCCCGCCATTTAATTTTATTTTTTTTATTTCAACTATACAAATTCACCACTTCTTCTATTTTATTTCATCACACATGCAATCTCATCTATCTCACTTCAGTTATCTAATTTATCTTCGTCTCTCTCATTTCACGCTTGCAAAATTACTCCCACCAATGAAAATAAGCTCACGCATATGCTAATTGCATTGTACTAAGAATCATTGCCTCTAATCTAAGAAGACATCGAAAATAAAATTGCACAAAAGAATGTGACGACTACTCCTCTCGTTCAATGTACCTGGATGTACATTCGGCAGAAACGTGACTAGACCACGCAATGTTTGTTTGAAGATTATTTTTCAAATGACTTAGCTTGCGTTTTCCCGATAACCAATTCCATCGACGTTCCCGAATGCGTCTAGCATGGGGGACATGCTCGCGTCGGGATATGTATTTCCAATAGTGCTCGGATGGTGTTGGGTAGGAGGGCCTATATCTACTATACAGAAGTTCACAATATAATTGCAATTAGGCAGCTCGCGTATGGCACCGGTTGTGTTGACCTGTCCGATGAGACATCCACATTAGCATCTCTAAGACCCGAGAATGCTTGCAATTTTTTTGCTAAAGTGTCATTGACGCTTTCAAGGATACATACTTACAGAAAATAGATTGTCTAAGATGCTTAAATGTTAGTCAATATATATGCACCAGCATGTGCACGAGTTATAGGGATGATGTGTAGCTTTAGATGTATGCAATGGGAGTGAAAATTATGTTATGGTGTGGAGGGGTGCATTCACAAACGATTACAAGGGCTCACACCCGACGGTTGTGTTCAAGGCCATTGTTGAGCATCATCTGTGGATTTAGCATGCATATTTTGGAGTCGCCAGATCAAATAATAATCTAAACTTGTTGAATAGATCTTTTTTATTCAACGATGTGTGCACTGGATGTGTTCCAATCGTGTAATCAACCATCGTTGATCACCAATGTAACATGAAATATTATTTGGCGTATGAGATCTATCCCGAATGGTCAGTGTTTGTGAAAACTATCATGTGTACGACAAATCCAAAAAGGGACATTGTTTGCACATAAACAAACATTATATTATTCGTGCAAAACCAAGAGTCGGCACAGAAAGAGTGGAGCATGTGTTAGAGACGAGGTATGTTAGCTTTTTTCTTTAAAGAGTGTCATTGTATGTTAGCACTTTTATTTTAGTTATGTATTTTTTAAATATACCAGTTTTTAATTAAAATCAAGGATAATGTAAAATAAATTTAAATTATTTTTAATTTTTACTAATTGTTATAATCCTTTATCATTTTCAATTATTATTCATCTATTTCTATTAATAGACAAATATTTTCATTAATTTATTAAATTTTTTAATTAAAGTAACGAATAATATAAAATGAATAAAAAGACGATGCGAGAAGACAATAGGTTTCCATATGTTTTGGCATGGGGTTAAAATAAGAAAAAAAAGGTTTTTGAATGTTATTGACTCCATTAGAAAGTAGTATCTGTTCATATTATTCTCAACCTAATAACGCACAAAGAAACAATATTTTCACTTACGCCGGAACTCGAACCTGAGTGAACTTCCCCATGAATTTTGGAGATTGGACCTCATACCGGGGGATTCAAAAACGAATAATGTTGGAGGAAATCCAAGAATTGGGTCGGGGCAGGAGGGTGCCCCATTGTAACTTAGAGCATCCACAGTGGGAACATCTCTTATTAGATGCCCAAGTGTGAGCTCCACTATAAAGATGTTATTTTAGCACCTCTCTTAACATTCCATTCTTTTAATTGTAACATCTCATTTGGATGCCTAAATATTTATTCAATTAATATAGTGGGTCCACTAAAATATATTTATATTTTATTTTTTGTTAATTATAAGTATTTAGTTATATAATAAATTACGGAGTATTAATTATACAAAGCTTGAAAATAAAATCTGGCAATATTATATTGAAAAAATTACTCTTTATATTTTAAAACTAGGTTGTTGTCACCTCTCTCCTCCTAGCATCTAAAAACGATCTATTTGGATGTAAATCCATTTTTTAAGAAAAAAATCTTGATTTGCAGCTATTTGTAAAAGAAACATTTGCTTAAAATATTTATTGGAATTACAAAAAAGAGCCGCTGAAAATAATTAAAAAAGAGACCCATTTAAGAAAATTGCCATATAAAAGAACTGAATATATATATATATGACACATGACACATGATCATTGGACCACAAAACTAAAGGAATAAATGCATAAAATGCTTTTCCCCTCAAGCACCGGTGCTATGTGAAGCATCCCTCTTTCTTTGTTTTCGTTGGATATCTCTAATGGACATCCACCTACAATAATAGTATCCACCAATATCTCACTATCTCTTTTTCTAGCACCTCTTGTGGGCATCCCATTGGAGATGTTTAAGTGCCCTAACTATCTCGGTTCAAAGTGTATGGTTCGGTTCCGACTTGGGGTCGTAACTAAAGAAGGAGAGAGAGGCGTGGGAATCGAGGATGCTCTTATGTCCGTACACCAAGGCACGTGGACTCTTTGTACCTCGTACATATAGCCCATATGTCTCTCACGTGGCCTTTCCATTCATGTACAGTGTACATCAATGGGTGGAGTTGGTAGATCATACAATTGTACAAAAAAGTGTATCCTAAAGTTACAAGATTACTTCCGTCCTAGAATATAAGCAACATTATGCTAAATGAAGTAATTTTTTGAATTTTTTCAGTTCATTTTATTTAAAGAATGGTCTACAAAGGAAAAATAAAACTTACATATTTAAAAACTACGTCAAAAGTTCTACAAAACAAGTGATGACATGAATATTTTATTCTATCAAATAATTAATAAAAATGTAAAAATAAATAAAAGTTTCTTGGATTTTTTAATAGTGGAGTGTTGCTTATATTTTGGGATGGAGGGAGTAATATTTGATGGTTCACTCTAATACAAAATGATGGTGCGTTTACAAAATTTTTTATTAACATTTTGTATCTGTATAAATTATCACTCTAGCATTTCACTGACATAAAATGAGGGTGCAAACTTGTGCTGTACAAATTGGGGTACAAATAACTTATTCCATCTTTCTTTTTCTATTGAATAACTGTGTAAACTTTTATTTTTTAAATGATTCTATTTACAAATTAGCATATAAATAAAAAATATAAATTATACAATTCAAATTTAAATAAAGGTTTTATAAAGCAATATACTTGCGACAAAATATTTCAAACATTTATTTTATCAAATTGTCAAATTTTTTTGACCGGTAAAACATGAGATGTTTTGCTTTTTGAAGAGATTTAAGGGAGTGTATTTTGGTATTGAATTTCCAAAAATGTCCGGGTAAAAGTAGGATTTGATGGGTAGATTATTAGTAAAAAGGTATGATTTGATAGGTAGGGTATGAAAAAGTAAGGGGTAAAAGTGACTTTTTAATAGAAATGAAAAGTGTTTTATGAGACAGATGAAAAAAGAAAGGAGAAAGGTTTTATGAGACGGAGAGAGTATTTTATTTTGACAAATATTAATTTTTTTTAAATGATTTCATTTACAAGTTAGTATATAAATAAAAAATATAAATTATACAATTCAAAATTACATCAAAAGTTTTACAAAGTAATATATATGTGATAATTAAAATATTTCAATACATTTATTTTATCAAATGATCAATGAAAACATATATTCCACCGTCCCTGAAAACATGGGAGATTTTGATATTTAAAAAATTTAAGAAAAGTGTATTTTAGTGCATGATACTTGCAGCACAAAAGAAGTTCCAAATTACAATATTTCAAAAGTACACCACAAGATATGTAAAATGATATGTGAGAAAAATATTTTATTTTATAAAATTATTATTGAAAGTGTAAAAATAAACAAAAATTATTGAGAACTCATAATATTGTAATTTGGAACTTTTTTGTGGGCGGAGGGAGTAATATGTAATGTATTTATTTCGTCTCTAAAAGAGTGACTTTTATGTAAAATGAAGCGAAATTTAAAATGTTCTCAATTTATTTTATTTAAAAATATATATAAAAATAAAAAATTATATATGCCAGCATATTTAAGACAACGTCAAAAGTTTTACCGAGTATAAAAAAATATGATGAGAATACATTTTATCACAAGAAAAAATCAATTAAAAAGCACAAAAAGCCTCTCGTTTTATTTATTTATTTATTCCTTTTTCGTTCTCTATTCAATTACTGTGCAAATGATCGTTTTTGTTACGTTCTCGATTGAGTGAAAGTAGCGTGGAACATGTGTTTTAAATTATGTACTCCGTATCTTTAGTTTTGTCCGCCGACGGTCAAAGACTCCAAATTACCTCTTTTTTTTTTTGCAAAATGGTTTTTTTATTATTATTGAAAAGACTTTGTGTCCCAGCAACATGATGTCCACTTTCTCATGTGTGGGAGGTCACAAGTTCAATTTGTGATGACGGTAATAACTCTATATGGTTGATAAGTTCAGAAAGTATAAACAGACACTGCATTACTATAGAGTTATTTATGTTGAAAAAAGTATTTTCTTTCTCCGTTCATTTTTATCTTTTACTTTTTTTGAAAGTATTATCTTCATTCTTCAATCTTCACATTTCTAAAATCACCGAAAACTTTATTTATTTGTATGTTTTCTTAGATCTGAACATTTGCAATTTTCTTCTTCTTCTTCTAAGACGTCATTGAACTTTCTAAATTATTTGAAAATACCACTCAAATATGTGTAAATAGTCATAATGCTTTTAATAAGCAATTTTGTTGTTTTTTCTTTAATTATATACATTTTCTTTAATTTTTTTTGTGTTTCTATGGTGAATTTAGCTATCTAGGTGCACAAAATTGTTTAAAATAGGGGAGGAAGCGGTCGTGACGGTTCGTGATACTACCGGAACCTATCACGAACTGCTCTTATTTAAACGGTTCGGTAACGATACGGGATGAACTCCAAAAGCATTCTATATCATTCCTTTTTGAAAGGAATGGTAAATATCATACTCATACTCAAATTGTGCCAAAAAATGAACGTGCATTACATGAAGAATATCAAAATAAATGTATAAGTTTGTATAAAAAGCACAACTTTAATAAATAGAAGTATTGATTTCGAATTTAAATGAATCATAAACATAAAGAATAAAAAATATTTAATGAGTCCAATTTTTTAAAATAATTGTTTTTACTTCATATAATATCAGACTATTAATAACTATAAAAAGTAATGCCTATGGTGATACTAAATATTATAACTATAGTATTGAAAGAATTTAAAAATGAATAATAAAATATGAAGTATTCTATATATGGTAAGATGAAGTAGACAAATACTCCATAATTATTTGAGATATATACTCCGTGTATAGCTTTGAATGATTCGATCCGTGATAATCGGTTTTAAATATTTGTATCACAATCTTGTCCCATTTGATATCGGTTCGGTTTTAGTTCGTGATGAAAAAAATCAATACCGTTTGGAAATACTATAAACGGTTCGGTAGCATTACGGTCCGGTATGATACCCTACTAGTTTGAAGTTTTTGCCCACCCCTAGTTTAAAATATAGTTTTGTAATATTTTCTATGTTTCAAATTAATTTTTCAGGTTAGATTTGGCACAAACCTTAAAAAAAGTAAAATCAGGTGCTTGAAAGTAAAGCATGTGAGAGAGAAATATGTTGAATCACAAAAAACTTTATTTGGGGTTAAAAATGGACTTTATTTGGGGTTAAATATGGGAGGGTCGGCCATGTGGGTAGGAGAAACAAGGAAAACACTAAGATGGCTAAATGGGAGACTTAAAAGGATGAAAACAACAAACTAAGGTTTTATTTGTCTTCTTGGTTCCTAATTTGGCCAAGGCTTCAATATGGATGGGGAAGACATTATTTTGGTCTAAAAAGATGATTAAAAGACTTTTGGATGTTTAGGGATGGGGTGGTGTATGGGTTCGGCCTAAGGGGGTGTTTGGTTCAGCAAGAGTATGGTTTGGGGTTTCTCGGTTACGAAGAGATATGAATTCAATCAAAAAAGGATCATAACACTTAGACATTAACCCATTGATTTGTTTTAGTATTTGTGGCATGGTCACAACCTTAGTAGGAGCATCCCGGGGTATATCAGTATTCCACTCCTAAACATTTACGTGCATTACTAAAATATTTTTACTTTATTTGTTACTTCTTCCGTCCCAAAAAGTCTTTCCTGTTTTATTTTTTGCGCATCCCATAAAACACTTATATCCCGCCTTGAATGCCAAAAAAACTTTCAAAATAACTTCTACCCACAATAAACAAGAAATGTTATAAATTTTGGGCATTTTAAATGTCGGTAAAAATGTTTTATGGGATGCGCAAAAAATGAAATAGGAAAGACTTTTTGAGACGGAGAGAGTATCTTCTAACAAGTAATTAACATGTTACTTGAAAATTTCTCTCTTAACTAATCAAATTTCAACATCACACTCAGTGTGACACTGGACAAAACATACATTTTAAAACATTTTAGAATTGGCATTATTGAAAACAAATAATCCATAAAAGAAAGTGACATTTTTGACAAAAATAAATTGTTGAGTGACATTGTTGTATTCACTCCAATATCATAGGCCAAGACTGGTGAACAAATTGACCCGCGATTGTTGTCATCTTGTCTTAGAACTTCGTTTTCTCCGTCTTTTTTGGGGATTTTAAATCCAATGGCATTCATCTCCCCAAACCTTTCTTCCCTCTTCCATTTCAGACGGTGGGTTGAATCATAGCTTAGATCCTTCCCTGCAATGGCGAAGCCGGTCCTTAATTCCTCCGCGGCCTTTCAGAAGGCATCTGATTCTGCAGCACAGGTGGTTTGCGCGTACATGAATTTCTGTTCTATTATTGTTTTTTTCCTTGCTGAATTTTTCATCATCGATTTGATTGTTTGTTTGGATTTCGGGTCTAGATCTCGGGTGCGCAGTTTAGATCCATGGAATTGGAGCAGACCCGTTTCAGATTATCAACTTTTTCCAAGTAATCACCTCTCATATCTCTCTATTCCCGCACCCATTTTTGATTTATTTTCATAACTGGTGTTCTTTTTCCTGAATTGAAACATGTGGATGTTACTCATGTTAGCGAATTATTATGAAATCGGAACTTGTTTCCAATTTGGCCACTATAATGGTAGCAGCATCACTTAGCACTATGATGAAGATATATCAAAGCTGTATATGTTTGGAAACCAAATCAATGTCTTGTCAGTTGTCATTAAACAAATCCTTTTTTTATGTTGGTTGCTTTTAAATTCCATCCCTTCCTATGAGTCTTTTGAGAGTATACTGAGTTGGGAAATTGCACAATGGTGATTTTAAATATAATTTTGGAATTGGATAAATGTAATCAAATGGACTTCAAGGGTAACACTTCAACCACCGCCACCACCACCACCACCACCACCACCACCACCACCAACAAAGCTTTATCCCACCACATGGGGTCGTTACATGGATCAAACTATGTCATCGCACCCTATCATGTATCAAATCTGCTTTGAGATCATTCACACGAAGGTCCCCCTTGACCACATCTTGCCAAGTCTTCACGGGTTACCTCGTCCTCTAGCCATATGTCTATTCACCATTTGATCAACCCTTCTCACCGAATGCTCTATTGGTCTTCTCTCCACACAGTCAAACCATGTAAGATGAGTTTCCACCATCTTTTCTATCCACCATCTTTAGCGCTTATATCCTCATCCCTTATTCTATCCATATGTGTATAACTGCTCATCCAACGAAGCATCTTCAATTCTGCCACACTAACCTTGTGTTCATAAAATTTTTCCTTGTGTTATAATATGGATGGCTAATTGCAGTACAATATAGACCAATGCAGCTGGTCTAATCACACTACAACAAAATTGGTTTTTTAATTACAAATTTGGTAAATACTCCGTACTAAAAAGTATACGCTTGCACGTACACACACACACCTACACCAGAAGGTAGCAACAAAACCTAGTGTAATTCCGATTCGGTTGGAGTTTTGGGGTCAAGGCGTATGTAACCTTATCACGGTAAAGAATTGAGATATTTCCTTTAGACCTTGAGCGTTGCTTCATTTACCAGCCAAAACTTCATAGAAAGTAAGAAGATAAGAAAGTTTAATGTGACAATTTAATTTATTTCATTATTTATCCAAAAACAACTAAATTGTCAAAAATGATTGTTTTTGCTCTGATAGCAATGGATGCGCGTGCAGGCACACACATGTATATGTAATTGTATAGGTATGTGGGTGGTAGTGGTTTGGGAATCTGTGTCTGTGTATTGGGTAATGGGGTTGTTGTGTGGGGTATAGCGAATGTGTATGTGCATGGGTACACACCCAATGTATACTGTGCAATCAATTAAAGCTTTAATTTCACTTTTTAGCACATCGTACAACCTATTAACGTTTTTCTGCACGGGAGAATTTCCTTTATATTTATAAATGCAAGATATAGGCTCAAACTCGAGTTCTAAGAGTGGGCATGTCTCTTTGTGTGTGTGTTTGTGCTGATCTGAGGAAATTTACTTTGAGGTGCAGGAGTAATGCAGCTTTAAGATTGAAAGCCTCAAGGGAGCATACGAGCTTGGTGCATGAAATTGTGGATTGCAAGCAGAAAAATGGTGTTTTGACTAAAACCGGATCTGATCTGTTCTCTGAGATGAAGCATCGTTTTTTAAGCTTCAAAAAAGATAAATACATGTGAGCATGTAATCTTATTTTTCATGTTCTTATTTCTAATAAATGCCAGCAATTCTGATTTTTTTTTGTGCGTCTCTTTTTTGGTGGGAAAATAGGGCTGACTTGGAACATTTCAAGGCCCTTGCCAAAGCTCAGGCACCAAAGGTATTTTACTTTTTCCTTATGAAGCTCTTGAGAATCTCTCTTCCATTATAGGCTATGTTTGGAATGTGGTTAATTGTATGAGAAAGGAAAAAATGACAATGAAAAGTGTTTTATTTATGTTTGGCTTTACGTTGAAAAATAAACAAAGAATATGAATTTGGTCTTTTTTTACATATATTTGTATTGTTTGTATTTATGCAATTGACATAAAGAATATGAGTATGAGCAGATAACCAAATTTTACTTTGTTGAGTATAATCCAATTTAAATCTTGCCCTAATTTATTTCCTTTACAATTTTTACTCTATTTTCAAACCTACCTATAGCATATAGCAATTATAGAGTATCAGTTATTTGTCTTATTTTCCATGTTTTTAACACATCCACATGGATTATTGAGTGTCAGTTATTTGTCTTATTTTATGGTTCATGAGATTATCATTACTATGGTGACAGTTTATGGTGATTGCTTGTGCTGACTCTCGGGTTTGCCCCTCAAGTGTCCTAGGGTTTGAACCGGGAGAGGCTTTTGTGATACGCAATGTGGCAAATTTGGTTCCACATTATGAGGTAACAAATAGATAAATCTTTTGAAATTTTATTTAAACAACTCTGCAACATATAATAGTAGGCATATGAATCTCAATTCTCAACTTGAACACTTGGCAATCAGATTACAAAGTTCATTTCTTATATGGTTTGTTGGTGGGTGATATGTAGGTTAATTCCTGAAATAGTTGACTTTATCAAACGATGCATCCATTGTGAAATAAGTTTGCGTGAGACTGTTTTGTGTTGTGCAGAATGGCCCCACAGAAGTTAATGCTGCTCTTGAATTTGCTGTTAACTCTCTCAATGTGAGTCCCTGTTTTCTGGAACATTCTATATTTCCTTAATCTGTGTTCAATCTTGTAAAAATTGGGGAGTAATCATTTGTTTTTGGTCGTTCGGTACAGTTCTGATAAATTCATATTCAAAAACCAAACGTCCAAACCATTTGTAAAAATAAGTCTTCTTATTTTGTTGTGATTCTGTCTCGGCTTTTCTTTTTGAGCCGGGGGTTCCTTGGAAACATCCATTCTACTTCCAATTGGAGGTAACCATTCTACTTCCAATTGGAGGTAAGGGAAACAAATGGCCAAACATTACTCTTGTGGGATTTTACTGTGTATGTTGTTCTTGTTCCCATTTTGTGGTGACTTGTATATGTTACAAAGCCTGGGATGGTCTTCGCAGGTAGAAAATATATTAGTTGTTGGCCACAGCTGTTGCGGAGGCATCCAAGCCTTAATGAGTATGGAGGAAGATGGGATGAGTTCTAGGTCTATCTCTCTTTCTCTCTCTCACCAAACCTTTCCCCATATATTTAAAACAAAGTCTTAAAATCATCCTTTACATTTTATTTGCAGTGGCTTTCTTCATAGTTGGGTTGCGGTTGGGAAGACTGCAAGGTTAAAAACCAAGGCTGTTGCCTCCAAACTCACATTTGATCTACAGTGCAGGCATTGTGAGAAGGTTAATTTTTTATAATTTATTCCAAACTATTGTGTAACCAGGACAATGCAAGTCTTTTTACTCATCCATCTTTTTAACAATGGTTTTGCAAGCCGTTGTTAAGACCTAAGGACAAATTAAATGACAATGATTAACTTAAATCATTGACAAATTTCTATCATAACTACTTCAACCTTTGCCCAGAGGGCAGTGGTTATTGGTTAATCAATGCATATAATCACTAAACCGTTGTAAAAATGCTTTCTTTGGACATATAGATGCCCAAACCGTTTTGTGGTGAAGTTTTAGTTTGTTTCATTATATTGCTTAATATATACATACTCAACACTAACCATTGGAGCAAGAAATGCTTGTCTAAGCCTCACAATTGACAAACCAGTTATCTATGCATCGTGTATTTTCTCAGTTTCTCATTTCTATTTATTGGCTTTCAACCTACTATTTGAGATAAATGACACCAAGGTTGACATTATCAGCAACAATCACACATTTGTTATTTATTCATGCAGGCGAGACACTTGCGGTGTCAACCGTGGTGTCATGACCATTAAGGTTGAGAACTATACTAGAGCTAAACTTTTTTGTTGTGTAATCTTTGATTTCCAGGAATCGATCAACCGCTCGCTGTTGAATTTGCTCACATACCCTTGGATAAAGAACAAGGTGGTTCAAAAGCAGCTAGTCATTCATGGTGGCTACTATGACTTTGTCAATTGTACATTTGAGAAATGGTCTTTGGACCATGATGATGAGGATACATCTAGCTTGGGTACCCAATATTCTATTAAAAATCGAGAATTTTGGAGCTGATTTTTCTTTTTGTCCTAAATTTTCTGGTTTTTTGTGTGTTTTTTTTGGGGGTGGGGTGTATGTGATGTATAATGTGAAATGTAACATGGGTTATACAAATTTGAATATGTTGTAAAAGTTTGAGCTGTGTTTGTTCATGTACTAGAGCTGAAATTTGGTCTGTATTAAAAACATTGAATTTTATGATACTAGTTGGTGTCCATGTATCACTTGGGATAAGTTTGAAATTAATTTGATTGTGGATATACATTCTAATAAAAGCCCTCTATTCTTACATGTTTTTTTTGCTTTACTTTTCGTGCCATTCCAATGAGTTCTCATTTTATTTATGAGAAAAAATGGAAAGTTGATGTCTTTTTTTGTTTAATTTTTTTCTACTATGTACTATTTTTGTGATTATTATTTAAAATTGAAACGATTTTGAATTCATATTTTAAGACAATTGAAAAATATGAACATGAAAATTGCACGTGTTAATCACAATGCATACGAGGCATGATGAAATTCTTAAAGATAACCCGTTTCTTAAACAAATTCAGAAAGTGAAGTTTTAAAATTTTGGAGCAGTAGCCGTCTACGCAGATCTTACCTCTACTTAGATTTCTATCTCAATTTAAATTGCTTAATTTGGTTTACGACATTTGACTGAAATAATTTTTAAATTATTTTATATGAAAAATGATGTAGAATCAAAACATAAAAATTACATATTTAAAAACTAGACCAAAAAAATTAAAAAAATTAGTGATGACATGACTATATTATTTTATTAAATTACTAACGAAAATAGGGAAAACTTGAACAAATTATTACAAGATTATTTTTGTTTTGTTTTATGGTATTCATCGGTATCGACTCCAATCAAATCAATGAATGAATTGGAAGGAGAACCAAAAGGCGGGTCTCAAAAACCAGTCGTTAATGTCGCATTCAGGCTGTTTCAACCACAAAAACCTTTTTTAAATACGGAGTAACTAAAAAATTAATTCCTGTATAGGTTTTGCAAAATAAAAAAAATAAAAGAATGTCAGAAGTGGGGTTCGAACCCACGCCCTCTTACGAAGACCAGAACTTGAGTCTGGCGCCTTAGACCACTCGGCCATCCTGACTAGGTTGTACGATGTTCGCGCGTCTATAAATTATATATATAAACAAAAAACTAATTCCCTATTCAAATAGTTGAATACTACTCATCTCACAAAATAACAAACGATTGTTTAAAAATGAAATAATTGGCACATGGTAGTTTCTCAAAAAAAAAAGTCAGAGCTAAAAATTCTCAGACTTAACATTAACAAAATATATAAATATTGGTGTTAATTTAAAGGCTAAAAATATAATTTGGTATCATACATATGTTTAATGACATATTCTGATATCGATTAGACGGATAACAAAACAATAATGACTATGATTGTGAGTTATGATTCCAACGAAAGACCACATTAATATATTATGGTGTTAGTAAAAAACGACTGCAATTCACAAGCGACGCATCAGGAACAACCTTTGGAGTTGTGTATGACAAGAAGGGTATATTGTCATTCTGAAATTACACTTTTAAATCTCAAATTAACATCAACATAATAGAAAATAAAAAAAGACTATTTGTGGAAAAAATACCTATAAAAGGACTACCATATTAATATTTGATAATATGAAACTAAATAAAAAAACTCTCATATTATAAAAGATCAATTATAGAATTTACTCTTTTTTTTTTGAAAAACAAAAAATGTTATATTGATTACCATTTACCAACACATTTTTATCTGTGATTATTTGATGTTTTCTAATTACAAATCATTAGATGACTTTAACTTATTTAAAATTAGTCTTTTATACTCATATTTTGTAACACTCTACTACGAGAGTAGTATATTGTCCCACTATTTTTAAAAAGGACGAGCTTAATCTCCGAGAGCCCCTCAGACCCAGCTAAACGGGAAAAAAAATTCTCATACTTCTCAGGTTTGGTCTTTGATTTTAAAACATTGATGTCAGAGTGTTATTTTGTCTCTTTGTCTTTTGTTCATAGATCTGCAAATCAAGTGGCTCACTTGCTAACTCGAGCTTCTGATTCTATGACTGATCTATTGGAGTGGGATACTACTCCTCCTACGTTTATTTGTGATATTTTGTAGGAGTTGAGAATTTAATAATAATGTTTCGTTGATTTTCAAAAAAAATAATATAATTGTATAATTGATAGTATTAATATATGAATGTGAGACAAATTTTTTATTGAATGAAATGCAACAAAAATAGTGGCAAATACGAAAAGAGAACACATAACTAATTTCCCTACCTGCCTAAGTGAAGGAGGTCATCATCCCCACAATTCCTTCATAGCTCTATAGCAAAGAACACCACCCTTTTTAGAAATGCTTCTCTTATTAAGGACATGTTCTCTTCACCTGATCTAATAATAAATTCTAATCTGATCTGAATGTAGTTATATTTAAAGTTATTTCTGGTCTAACCTGATTTCAATACGAATAAATAATAAGTAAAAGAATAAGTTGTGGAAAATATGACCTAAATGTTACTTTTAAGACATGTTTGGTATAACTGACCAAGTACTTTTAATGGTAACCATTTGCTTTTACATGAAAGTTATACGGAGTACTTGATGAAGTGTGCCCTCAACTACTTAGGGGTGTAAAAAAGGCAGTTAAGTTGATGTCTTTCGGCTATGAACCAAACAGGTTTGCCGATTCTTCGTGCATTCTGCATGGATCGTCGCGTCGAAAGATNACCCCCCCCCCCCCCCCCTACGACGCTGCTTTGCCTTCTGTGATGGTCGGGTTCGTCACGGGCTCTTCTTTGAAGTTCAAACCATAGATGTGTCCCATTTTGGCGCGCTTTGTTTCCAGGTATCTTTTGTTGTGTATTGTGATGGGACTGAGTAGGGGTACCCTTCCTACAACTGCCAAACCATACCCCTTCAACCCAACATATTTTGCAGGGTTATTTGTCATCAGCTTCATCGTCCTTACTCCGAGATCCCTTAGTATCTGCATATACAGGGTCACTATTTCAGTCTAACTCTTTAGGATCCGTTTGGGACCCGGGGTATACTCGGGGAGGCAAATAAAGAGAAAAATAGTGAATAAACACGACAGTTTTTTTTTACCGGGCTGATTTGACCTTAAAATGACCCTGACACCTACGGTGCTCCGTTGGTAAAATACATGCTTTCCTATCACCCTAGATCGTCGATTTGGCAACAAGAAATCAACGATCTAGGAGGGTGCAGGGGATAGGAAAAATCAATTTTACCAACGGAACACCTAGGTGTCCGCGTCATTTTAAGGTCATTTTTTCCAATGTCAAAATATCATTGCCGAAGAAGAGAAAATTGGAGAAATTTAGAGGAAAAATAAATCTAATTATGTATTTTTTCAAACCATCTCATTAATTTATGTAATGATCAAGCCTAATTCTCCTCCCGGTTCATGTAGCCAACCCCAAGTTACTTGGGATATATGGCTATAGTTGTATTATATGAAAACTAAGAAACCTAACACTGTTTGGTTCAAGGAATTTCAAATTTGGAAGGAAAAGAAAAGAAAATTGTTTTCTCTCATTTCCCTCACCAAAATGGGAGGAACTTGATTTTACCTCAGTAATTTTGCCTTCTCATTTTATTTTCCTTCATTTTTTCTTTTCCTCTCTAGCCAAACATGAAAAAATATTTTTCCTCTCATTTTCTTTTCCCTTTCAAATTCCTTGACTCAAACATAGAGTAAATAAAAGTAAAAACTTCATTAGTCATATCTGATTTTCCCTTTGCATTATTCAACACAGAGCCAAACACAACACAATTACTTCCAAATTCCAATAGCATCTTCTGTAATCCAAACATACCCTTAGCATCCATTTGAAACACAGAAGTGACAGAACACACCAGGGAAAGAAAGTATGGAGGAAAATGAACATGATACTTGGAAGGGGAAAAAAAACGGAGATAATTGTTCTACGAAGAAGATTAACTTTTAAAACCCTAAAGCTCAATGTTGCCGTTAGATGGTCTTTTTCAAAACGATAAAGCTAAATGTTGAATCTATTGCCAAACATACCCTTATTTTAATGTTAGATCAAGGTATCAAACTCCTTTCAAAATTTTCCTATTACAGAAAGACTTAGAAATTAAGTATGATTAGATATTTAAAAAATTATTATCGGGAAAAAGATAATATGACAGAGAAGAGCATAAATTATGGAAAGCAAAGGCAGCAATTACCTGGGCACCAATTCCATATTCCCTTGAATCAACCGGTAAACCAAGTTCTTCGTTTGCTTCAACCGTGTCACGCCCTGCATCCTGCAAATTGTAGGCCCGAAGTTTGTGGCCCAGCCCGATTCCTCTTCCTTCGTGACCACGGAGGTAAACCAAAACACCCCTTCCAGCTGCCTCAATCTGTTGCATTGCAAGTGCCAACTGGTTTCCACAATCGCATCTAGCTGAGCCAAATATGTCCCCAGTGAGGCACTCTGAGTGAACCCGAACAAGAATATCTTGCCCGTTCCCGATCTCACCCTATTCCCAGGCATTACAAGTTAGTTTTTCACTTTTGATATATCCAATCAAATTATAGCATGTTTGGTTAGCCCCATAATCATGTTCATAGAACGTGGCTTTTGCGGCCAAAACGTTTGCTGCCCTCTGTAGTTTTTTGCATTTGGTTTTCCCTTATCAAATAGGGTTTTACCAAACACTTGTTTTATTTGATTGTGTCGGCTGAATTGGCTAATAATGAAACAAAATACTCCGTACTACAGTAATTACTTTTTAGGCTGAATTATGGTAAACACAAACTGATCTGGAGTAATTTCACAAGCAGAGAAACCAAAAGGACTCACCTTGACCATTGCAATGTGTTCAATCCCATCTATGATTGATTTGTAACAGTGGGCAGTGAATGGGCCCCACATGGTCGGTATCTTTGCAGCAGAAGAATGTTCCACTAATTTGTCCCTTTTTCTCCTATATCTACACACATAGAGAAATATCAGTGAGGGCTTTATTGGTGTGACTCAAACTATATTATAGTGACCTGTTTGGTACACAGGAATAACTTTCCCTTTGCCCATAATTCTAAAAGTTAAGAGAAAATGGAATGCTTGGTATGATGGGAAAATTTCACCTCGGAATACCTTTTAGCTCCAAGACCTTTAAAAAACACAAGCCTAGTCCTCATTAGTATTCATTCCTCTATCTTTAGTCAAAAGCACACCAAACAACATAATACTCCATATTTGGGTAATTCCATCATTACCCACAGTGGAATGATGACTCCCATTTTATCCTTTCACATGGAATTCAAACTCTATCTCGCATATATTACTCTCCGTGTACCAAACGTGCCATAAGAGTATTACTAGGATACAAAAGCGACATTGTTAGAAATAGCATGAAACATACATGCTTTATACTCACCAATGGAATTGCAATTTAGCATACGCTATAACACAGTTATATCATATAAGGATCATTAAATATATATACTTGACCGACCTGATTAAATCAGCAATAGATATAATTTTTATTCCATTAGTCTGTACAAATTGTTGAAGCTTAGGTAACCTAGCCATAGAACCATCATCATCCACAACCTCACACAGAACGCCAACAGGTTCTAACCCAGCTAGCATTGCAAGATCAACAGCAGCTTCTGTATGCCCAGCTCTTTTCAGGACCCCACCTTTTTGGTACTTCAGAGGAAATATATGACCAGGTCGGTTGAAATCCTGAGGCACAGAACCTTTTGATGCAAGAGCCAATATTGTTGTTGCTCTATCATGAGCTGACACTCCGGTAGTTGTTCCATGTTTTGCATCCTAAACAAACTATACCGTAAGAATTGCATTTTTATAGAAGTAGACTTACTCAGCTGTAATATAGAATTTGATAGGAAAATGGCTGGGAAAGGAAGATGAGATCAATAATATCATCTATGCTTTAAAAAAATCCAATATGGTCCCTAAGTCATTAAGAACTCATATATATATGTATATACATATATATACATATACACACACACACACACATATAATGCCATCTTTGGGCCCCTAGTCATTAAGATCTCGAAAAAAAAATTGGATTGAGCTTGGGTGGGCTGGGCCCCATACCCTGCCTAGCACCCAACCCTATTCTGTCACCGGCTTCGCACATAGCGTTTTTAGAGCAGCGCTAACATCAACAGTGAGAATGACATGGTTCATACCACTGAAACCGTGAATGCAGTACGAAGTTTCTCCTCATTATCCTTGTGATTTACCATCAAGGGAATCTGTAACCTCTCCAAGTCTTCCTCCACCATACTCACACACACAATTCCAGTCCCATGTCTTACAATAAAGGCCATTACTTCTGGTGTAACTTTAGATGCAGCAATTATAAGATCTCCTTCATTTTCTCTGCTCTCATCATCCACAACAAGTACCATCTGTACAATCGATAAATCCATTATGCAAAGGAACATAATAATAAATCAGACCCCAAAAAAAAGTGAAGAAAAGATTATGAGTCCATTAGGAATGAATTGGTTTCAATGAATAAATGCTATTTGCACAAAGAAAAGTATGTTTAACTAAAAGAGAAGTGATTTGAAGGAAAACAAAAAGCAACTGTAATCCCTTATTTAAGAAAGCAAAAGATTGAGAGTGCATTTGAAATGATGTATTTTCAAGGAATGGATGTTTTTGGAGGGAGAGTACTTCTTTAAAAAGAAGAGTTTGGCAAGAAAACGGAAAAGTGTTATTTCCATAACCATTAATTAAAATAATTCCAATGTTTATTTAAGAAAACAGTATGCTGGCGACTGGCATTGTTTTAAAAAAGCCCACTACGTTCTTAAATGAGAAAGCAGCAATAAAGAACATTATCTGAATGCCTCAAAGGCTCCCGCCGATTGCGGGGTAAGGGGGTTGGATGTACAAACCCCTATGTTTAAAATGTAGAGCGGTTGTTTCCAAAGAAATCATGTACGTTAAAAGTAATTATACCATATGATAAAGCATTTTGGTGATGACCTATGTTACAAGTGCTTTCTCATTAAACCACTTAAAATGCCTTTCTTCAAAGATTTCCAATCTGGTGATCTTTAATTAAGCATAAAAGAGTTACTTCAAAAATTAAAAGCACTATCTCATTTCCCTGCCAAACACTTCTTTTGAAAGTAATACTTTTTTTCCTATAAAAATTAAAGTGCGCTTATTGTTAGTACGTAATTCATCCCAACACACTCCAAGTCTTGGAAGCCAACCTTCCCCTGACGAATGTCGTCAATGGCATCAGGGATTGATGAAAACCCTTCTGTGGGACAGTCCAAATCATATTCATCAACATGAGCTGGAAAGCCACTTGGTGTAGGGATGAGATCTGGCACAAGTGCTCCAAAATCTGGTTGTATCTCGGTTCCAGTGGCCAGCTCACTAACTATTGATCCATTGAGATGAGATGGAGAAGAATCGCCTTGACCTGATAGCAAAGCATGTCTAGTTCTACCATCCCATTCAGTAGAGAAGGATGCTTTACGGTTCAACGGAATGAGAGACCTAAAAGAAAACCCCTTGGTTGGATGCTGAATTCCACCTTTCAATAAGTTCAAGTTCTTTGATGCTCTATACAGCAGGTAAGAACAGCCAGATATCAGAATAATGAATGAATAAGTAAATAAATAAATAAATACTCCCTCCATCCCTAAAAAATGTCTTAGTTTGAGAGTTTAAGAAAAGGTAAAATTGTATGGTGGAGGTTTATGCAAAGGAGGGAGAGAAACAATGTGAACCGCTTAAAGCATTCCTTAAATGGAATGAGACATTTATTTTGGGAGATCCAAAGAAGGAAAACATGAAATTTTTTCAGGGACGGAAAAAAATACTCCCTCCGTCCCCAATTTGATTACAAATTGCGGGTTACGGAGTAAAATTTTCTACTTTTTGAAATCATTTTATTTACAAATTGGTATATCAATAAAATATAAAAATTACATATTAAAAAACTATGTCAAAAGTTCTACAAAACAAGAGGTGACAAGAATATTTTATTTTATCAAATACTTAATGAAATCGTGTAAACAAACAAAAGTTATCGAGAGGAGAGAGAAAAAAAGATTGTAATCTATTTAGGGACGGAGGGAGTAATTAAATAATAAAATAAAATAAATAGATAAACAAAACAGTATTATATGCATGAAAAACTAGCTGCTGACAATCACTGGCCCTACTAAACAAGAACAATTATGAATGGTTCTATGAAACTTATATAAGACACAGAATCTTAAATTAAAATAAATTAGTGAAGGTAATTGCTTAAAATGCACTTTGTAGTTTGTAACAATAAAATAGCTATGCACATCATGTTTTGAGTGTTATCACCAGCTTGAGCAATTTGTGAGACGTATTAAAAATTATACACCCTCCCTCCTATAATTAACTTCCTGTATTCACTTGGCAGGATTTTTAAGAAAGTACATTTGTGTGGTAGTGGCGTGTTTAGAAGTGAAAGAAACTTTTATGATGAAGTTCATAATGACTTGAAGTTGAATGGCTTGAAGCTGTATCACAAGAAATTGGATGCAGTGGTAGACACAGAAAATTTACGCAGTGGTATCACAAAAAGTATTGAAGTTCTTGTGTAGTTGTGAGGGAATGCCAGTGAATGTTTGTGCTATTATAAGATTTATCTTTTAAAACAAGGCTCTAAATTGGTATGGAATCTCCAATTACACATATATTTATTCATATACATGAAAATGTATAAATTGAAGAACGAAGCAAATACCTATTGGGGCAATTCACAATTAACATCCTTAAACAGGGAATTATTATCATTTTGCACCCTCACAGAGTAAAAATTAATTAGTGCATTCTCAAAATTACCAAAACACTCCAAAGCACACATTTTTTTATCTACTTTCATGCAAAAAAATTAAAAATAAATCAAGCCAAATATTATTTTTGTCTAACCAATCCCTTTTCCCTTCAAACCCTATGCTAGAATCTTTTTGCTACGTGAAAAGCTCCAGTCACGCTCAACTCTTATGTTGCGGTCACAATACACAATTGACTTTGTTTGAAGTTTTGGAACGAAAAGAAATGCTCCGCAAAGATACGCATCAAATTGAAGGTGGCTTTTATGCTTTCAAAAAAATAGTTGTAACAAAAATTTGTTGAGGGTGCACTGAGTGTTTTGAAATTTTTGAGGTGCACATTAGAGTGTTTTAGGCCTTGTAAGGAACTGCATTTTTTTTTAGTTTTAGCATTTTGGATAAATTTGTAATCATTTAGATTAACTTTGAAAAGGCTAAAGCTAAACATTTTCATTAGATGGCCTTTTCAATATGTTATTTCTAACTTCTCACATTTTTGCCAAACGTCCATTCATAAGTTTGAGGGTGCAATTTGGATTGTTTTAGTATTTTTATGGTGCATTTGATGATTTCTACTTTATAAGATCTTATTCTTTTGGATTGAAAAAATTAACTTCCAACTTTGTCCCAACTCGTTCTAGTTTCTTCCAACTCTTTTCTGTTTCATTCAGCAACGACTTAAGAAAGGTATTTATATATGATGAATATACAATAACATTTTATATCCAAATTTTAAACACAAGGATGAATATTATTTTTATTCAAAATTAGAGTTTTCTAACATATTTATTTAGGTGATCATTTAATTAAGTGACTTTTTAACACTTGAATTTTTCTAACATTTTCCAACTTCTTCCAGTTTGTTCTAACTCCTAGTTTCTTCCAACATCTAACTATAAAATTCCAACCCAAAAAAATAGGGCCTAAGTGTGCAAAGTGATAATTGTTCTCTTTATAGGGGTGCAAAGTATGAATTACCCTACTCATTGAACTTAAAAATAATGCTCCGGGGTAGTATTTTTGTAATTGTATTTCTGAATCAGAACTTTTTACCCAAGAATGGGAAGATCATTTTGTGTTCCATATATGGATAACTAGAGCAAGAATTACTTACACTGTTTGGTTCAAGGAATTTGGAAGGAAAAGAAAAGAGAATGATTTTCTCATTTTCCTCACCAAAATAGGAGGAATTTGGTTTTCCTTTCACTTAGAACATTTTCCTTCTCATTTTCTTTTCCTTCCACTTTTCTTTTCTTTTCCCAGTCTAAATGTTTAAGAACATATTGTAGTAAGTCGGTATGGTAGATCCTAGGTATGTAAACTACGATATTATGAGGCTAGCGGGCGGTGGAAGCAACAGTACACCACCACCATCTATTTACTGGAAGCAATATAAATCACCAAACCAGTAAAACACATATACGTATAACCAGAGTAGATGTAATTAAGGCACAAACTGTGTTCAATAATATTGCTTCCGGCGAGACCGGATCCGGACAGACTGAGAACGAAATCCGGCGAAGACGATCATAGCTCCGGCGAGCACGGATTCAGGAGAAAATTCCACAAATATTTTTCACTCGTATTCAATTTCAACACACGCATATGGAAATCCGCGGAAGTCAAATCCAGGAAACAAATGAAGATTGATGCGTTTTGAAATGAAGTACCTGGATGTGGATGAACGGGGAATCCCACAATCGGAGGTCAGAGCCAGAGGATATACCCTTGTGGAAATCATGGGATATTTCTGTGTACTGTTTGGAGATTTTAAAAGGAATTGGCGAAATATTAGGGATTGATGGAAGAAGGTTAGGTGGGGGTCATTTGATGTTACGAAGTACTTACTCCCTCCCACTATATTTGTCCACTTTTATTTTTGCACACCATCCAATGCACTTCTTTAATCCATTTTATCTTGTAATTTGTATATTAAAAAATTATATATTAATAATCTATATGTTAAGACAAATCAAACAAGATCACGCATGACTATATTTAGGCTTACACATTGAGAGAATTTGATGAGTCAAAGTGCTTAGATGAATAGTTTCAAAAGTCAAAAGTGGACGAATATAGCGGGATGGAGGGAGTACTTCGCAATTTCGCATCGGCATATTCGCATATTTGATATGGAAAAAAGTATGAAAAATTCAAAAAAAAAAATTAAAAACAAAATAAAATGAATGGTAAAGGAAGGGGTGATGTATATTTGGAGTATACCTTTGGTGTACCCCTAGCATATCCCATTCGATATTACTCCCACGTTGCGAGAAAAATAAAAGTCAAATATATTATACTTCGTACAATTTAACCAAATAAACTAAAGAGTAAAATACACTTTTTAAAATGAAATAAATTAAAGAGTAAAATACAAGAGAAAATGAAAAGTAAAAAATGAAATAAAATACACTTTTTATTATAAATAAAAATAAAATAAACAAAATAAAAAAAATTAGATAACATATACTCAATCTATCTCAAATTAAAAATTTCAACTTATTTGTTTTTTAAAAGTAAAATAATTTTTTTGGGACTTTAAAAAAATAAAGAACCAAAAGATGAAATAGAATATGGAGTGAAAGAATTTTTTTTTATTTTTCAATTAGTTTTTTCCTTTACTTTGTACATAATATTTTATTTTATTTTTCTATTTTCATTTTCTTTTGTAACTTTCTCTAAAAATTCCATTGTTTTCAAAAATACATTAATGAAAATGTTTAATTTGAGATGAAGAGTGAATATTTTATTTTATTTTATTTTATAACAAATGAAAATAAAAAAGTGAAAATTCAAGTTAGAGAAAAAGAAAGAGCATAATGTCATTTTAAAAACTACGAAATAGATAATGGGTGTCTCTTCTCTATATAGAAACCACTGAGACTTTGCAAATAACTTTTTAAATAGAGAGGACTTGACGCCTNGGGGGGGGGGGGGGGGCAATCATGATATTAACACAATTGAAAATACAGTTTCATCCAATAATTTCAATGGAAGTTCAATATCTAAAGCATAGTTTTACAAATCGGACGAGAGTTGCTAGTTCGGACAAGAAACATGTGAACTGATCATCATCAATGGTCAAATTAATTGGAAAAAATTGAAAGGAACTTAATTTGAGAATAGATATTCAAAAAAGAGGGTTACGGCTGAGAGAGAGCCATGAGAGTGGCACAGAAACAGCGTCAGCACTTTCTTAGATCGATTTATTCTATTTGTGGAAGCCAACATAGAGGCGGCCGAAAAAAGGATTTGGAGTCCGAGATGCAGACTTTTATACGATACTTCAATGTTTTTCAACACCATAACTCTTTTGTAGTGTTTGGAGTATGGGATGTGGAGTTTTTCAAGACCAAGTGAAAGTCTGTGATAAGTATAAACTCAACATTGACTGAGTCAATAGCTTAGTCTACACTCTCAAAAAGATGACAAATAATGTGACTTTCCCGAAAAAGTTATGGAGTATTTAGTCTAAGGGCACATTCAGAAATAATTAAGAGAAGCTTCTGTCAAAAAAAAAAGAAGAGAGAAGCTTCTTTTGTTTTGGTCCAAGATCGCAATTGAATCTCGTTGTCTTAAAGTTATTGAAGCCCTCGAACTGCAAATCTTTGTTCTTTTATTGGGAAGAGAAATTTGTTTTATTTTTGTTTATCATTTAGTTAATTTTATTACTTACGATCTAGCTCAAACAACACGTTCACCTCTCAATGTCGGAAAGTCATATCCACTGCTAACTTTGTACGACATTATTCATAATGACTAATACATTCATTTTTTTCTTAAAAAAATAATTGCCAAACAAACAAAATTAATTGAGAAACTCACCATGTGTCATATTCTTTGTGGGTGAAGCGTAGAAAATTGGTAGGAACCAATATGAGAAAACAAACATGAAACAAACATGTGTCATATTCTTTTCTTTGTGGGTGAAGTTTAGAAATTTGGTACAAACCCAACACAGAAATGAATTTCAAACCTACATCCTCAAAATTTCTTATGATGGGGTAATAGACTAACCTCGGTTTGAATTTAAATTCATTAAACTTCAACTCATTAATTAAAAGGATGAGTCCCATTTTAGAAATTAATGTGTGATCTATACTTAAATTATGTTTTGACATCATCTATTTGCAGATTGCATAAGCATCCAAGTTTGTTTTGTGTAGTGTCATGGATACTCTAAACGTAATTATTGTCATTAGTTTCCATATTTATATTAATCTTTAACTATATCTGGCTACAACAAGAGTTCATTTATTCATAAATTTAAGCACCTTGGTTCCCATGACATTGGGAAGATGTCTCGGGGGTGCTCCGGTGTCCGTTCGTAAAATTGTAGTTTCCTACCTCCCGGTAAACCCCCCTCCCCACCCCGACCCGAACACGCCCCCCCACCCCTTCAATTGCACCCCCAAGTTAATTTTGAAGGGTGGGGGGGCGTGTTCGGGTCGGAGCGGGGTGGGAGTTCACCGGGGGTTAAGAGGTAGGAACTGTCAATTTTACGAATGGGGCACCGGAGCACCCCCGGGTCATCCCATGACATTGGACATTGGTTCCCAATGTCATGGGAACCCCCCTCAAAATTAAGAGTACATTTTTCTAAAATAGTCATTGCTAATAAGATGTTTTTCCAAATCAATTCTTAATAATTTTTAATTAACTACGTAGTCCGTTATATTTGAAATTTATTTTTAGATAGTCATTCGTAAATAATATCACTCAAATAATGAATAATTAGAAGATATTTTATATTTTTTAAGAAGTTAAATTTAGAATAAGTTCTAGAAATGATCATTTTAATGAAGTGCTTTTCCAAAATGGGTTTTCTAGTTAAAAATGTGTATTTGATTCAAATTTAAAATATATTTAAAATATTTTTATAAGTTTTTAATAATTCATGGATTATGTAAGCCAATATATTATTTTATTTTACATTTATTTGTATTGATATGATTATTTTGAGAATATACTTTAAATTTAGATTATAAAAATATCAAAATATTATTTTAATTAATCAATATTTTTTAATTAATCATCATTTAAGTGATATTATTTACGAAAGACTCTCTAAAAAATAGATCTCAATTATACAGAACTATATAAATAATTATAACTTGCTAGGAACTGAAATTACTGAATTAAGAAAATGCCTTATTACAAAAAAATCATTTTAAAAATTTACTTTTTATAATTATTTATTACAAAATAATTATAATTGTTTCTATTAAATGGATAATGGATTTCCATTTTTTACTTTTTTTTTTAAATTTTTTTGCGTATTTCAATTGCAAGAGAACTTTTTTTACAGGCATCCATCGAAACGGACCAAAAGAAAAGAAAAAATACATTGCGTCCTTACAATTTACGAGTACAATTTTACATTCGTGGAGACGCAAGCAGAGGACCGTACCCCTTCCGACGGGCCCCACCTAACATATCTCCTTTGTCCACATCACACGAGCGTCAAGCATGCCGACACCTGCGGGTCCCACATTGCCGGCAGCATGAATTTCCGGCCATTCACTCCGTACGCATTGTAGCTCGCTCCGGTGGTCTTGTCCACCAACAATTGGCCCGGGTATCCCGGGTACGACCCGGACCCGAACATCCCCGTGCAGGCGGATACCGCCTCCGTCGGCGCCGTCGCCGGCCCCTGGAAATACCCGTTGTTGAACGGGTTGGTCACTGCTCCGGCGAGGACGGTGGCGAGGTTGATGATCATCCCGTCGACGGCGACGTCTCCGTTCGGAGGCACCAGCGGCGGCGTCTGCGGGCCGTAGATCGGCTGGTGGAACGGCCAGGCGCACTGACCCGGACACTGAGTCTCCGAGTTGCCCACCCAGGCGTACGCGACCCGGTCCTTACCCGCCGTCGACCCGTGGGTCCCGCACCGGCTCATACAGAACCCGTTCACGTATACATCCTTCCCGGTCAACACAACGTTGACCGACCCGACCCGGACGCCCGGCCCGGCCTTGGAGGCCAAATACCTAATCTGGTAATCCCTAAGGCTCTTACCGAGCGAGCAATTCTCGTCGATAATCTGTTTCCCGACGGAGATGGCGGTGGATCCGGAGACGCCGCCGTCGTACTTGGCCGTGGTCTTCCACCACGAGCCGACGGAGGGGGACGGGGCGTGGATCGAGCCGAGTGATTGAATGAAATCGAGGATTATAGAGCGTTGGGCGGGGGTGAATTTTCCGTACCAGACGAGATTGACGGTGATTGGGCCCTTCAAAACGGTGCCGTTGTGATACTTGAGCACAAGCGGCCGGTCCTCGACCAGAGCGCCGGCGGACGGTTGTGCCACCAAGGTGAGAGAGGAGAAGAGGAGCACGAGGAAGGCGGCGGCGGCACCGGGATTGTCAATGGAAGCCATGGTTATGGATAATTGAGAGCTAAATTAAAGTGAGGAGGAGAAGTTGGAAAGATTGTCTTATATAGGGTCCTATAGCTGAAATAAAGCTAACATATCATAATGGTAAGTTAGGAGGGAGATAAGGATTGGTTTTTATAATGAGAAAAAATAAGTATTTTTTCTTCAAATAATCTTCTCAGTTCGGTTTATGATGTTTAACTGAAATTATTTTTAATTCGATATATTTAATCATACGTGTAAAATTAAAAAATAAAAATTATATATTTCAAAACTACACCAAAAGTTCTACAAAATAAAAAATGATATGACTATATTATTTTATCAAATAATTAATGAAAATTGGTAAAGAATGTGATTAAAATTTGACTATGTCAAAAATTACTAGAAAAATCATTTTAGACGAAGGAAATATCACTTTGTTGGGTAATAATATTTCACAACTGACCAGACATACTCCAAAATAAAGAGATAATAATAGTTACAAAATTTTGTTCAAATTAAATGTCCACTGTCACTTGACATTGTTCCCGCCACTAAACAGTATAAGTACTATTTATTGAATAAAAATTTTTAAGTAATATATTGAAAAATGACATATATTTTAATACTTCCTCCGTTTCATAAAACATGAGATGTTTTGTTTTTTGAAGAGATTTAAGGGAAGTGTATTTTGGTATTGAATTTCCAAAAATATCCTTTGATGTGATGGGTAAAAGTAGGATTTGATGGGTAGATTATTAGTAAAATGGTATGATGTGATAGGTATGGTATGAAAAATTAAGGGGTAAAAGTAACTTTTTAATAGAAATAAGAAGTGTTTTTTGGGACGAATGAAAAAAGAAAGGAAAAAGGTTTTCAGGGACGGGAGGGTGAAAAGTTGAATTTTTCTAGGGTAGACATGCAATAGAAATTGTGGAGTAAAACTTTATTGCACGAGTGTAGATAAAACTACAAAAAGTGTTTTGTCTTAGTGTTTCAAGATTAATTTGTATCATTAAAAAACTAAAATGAGATGAATTAGAATATACTCGTGTTAATATAAAGAGCTCGAAAGGAGATGAATTTTCTAAGCCAAGTATTTTTTTTGAAGGATGAAAAAGGAAAAAATGAGATATAATTATTATAAAAGAGATCGAAATACAAAATGCTAGAGTCAGAAACATGTAATTTCATTATTTGTGTATCTCACATTGAGAACAAAGTAATTTAAAATAATAAAAAAATAAAAAATTTAAGAATCTACTCGTGTATAAAAAGTTTTTATATATTTTAATTCTTCTCTTTGTAATTCTAGCATTTTTTTGGTGGGGTTTAATGGTGGAATATAAAAGTAAGTTCTTTGTTAATGTAATTTGAAATTTTGCATGAGGACAAACGAATGGGGTATAAGATTCCATCCATGGATAAGTATGGGATACAGTGACTTTATTATTTATTTATTTATGTGCTCTGTTGAAATATTGGAATAGTAATATTGGTCATTGAATTATAAAGTACATGATAGAGTATATATAGGAGAGACTCCTAACACAACTAAGAATAGAGAATAGAAACTAACTAACATACAACATCTACCACAAATAGGATTAGGAAGCTGGCTAATAATGAAACACTACCATAACCAATACTACAAGAAGTACTATTATTATTATTGTCTAACATCCCCCCTCAAGCTGAACTCTGGCTCAAGCAAGAGGAAGCTTGGACACTAGCTGGCATGGAAACTGGAAACTTTGAAAAGAGAGAAGTCTGACATGCGCCGGTGGCTGCTCACGTCGTTGGAGAAGAGAGAAGTGTGACGCGCGTTGGTGGCTGCTGACGTCGTTGGAGAAGAGAGAAATTGACGTGCGCTATTAGCTGCTGACGTCGGTGAAGAAGAGAGAAGGTTGACGTGCACTTGTAGCTGCTGACGTCGAAGAAGAAGAGAGAAGGCTACTGGAGATGCATGTTTGATTGAAGATCCTTGACATTTTTTGTCTTTTTCTTGGATCCGGGCAATGCCCTATTTCCTTCTTGAAGGGGTGAGTTGTAGAGGTCTTATTTCCTCTTTCACTACTTTCCCTTTTGGCTTTGCTTTTGTACTGATTTACTTTGGTTTTTTTATTGGTTCAATAGAAGAGAAAGAGAAGGGAGGTTGATGATTACAATGAGTGATTTCAGAGAAAAATAGGTTAAGAATTGGTGAGGGAAAAAAAAAAATTTGGGTCAGAGATTTTGATATGGTGAATTGGAAAGAAACAACAATTTTTTTTTTCTTTTTTTGAGAAGATAGGATGATCTGAAAGAGTTTGTGAGGAGTTGGGTTTTTTTTAAGAACCATGGAGATGACAAGAGAGAAGTTTCTCCTTTGATATTTTTTTTGTGTGATTTCAACAAGGGTTTTTTTTTCATTTGAGTGGAGAAGTTGATTTGAGGATAAAGAAGGAAAAGAAAATAGAGGTGATTAGGGTGGAGCCGCCATCGCCGGAATTACCGGCGGCGGCGGGAGCAAAGAACTTTTTTTGTTAGGTCACCAAAAGCGGTGGCTCTGATACCATGTTGAAATATTGGAATAGTAATATTGGTCATTGAATTATGAAGTACATGATAGAGTATATATAGGAGAGACTCCTAACACAACTAGGAATAGAGAATAGAAACTAACTAACATACAACATCTACCACAAATAGGATTAGGAAGCTGGCTAATAATGAAACACTACCATAACCAATACTACAAGAAGTACTATTATTATTATTGTCTAACATGCTCGGTATTTATTTATTTATCTACTCGACATTTATTTATTTGTTGATTTATTTGGTGTGTTTTTTTGGGACTGTGCTAGGGTGTCATCACATAAGTGCTACCATGGGTGCACCCATGTTTCACACTGTGTGAAGCATGAGTACACCCATTGTAACACCCATGTGGTGGCACCCTTTAATTCTCTTTTTTTGGAAGGGATGGAGTAGACAGTACAGGGTACAATAATGGTGCCTCCAAGGGGAGTGGAAGAGTGGACTGTGGATAGATTTCTCCCCCCTACCGCTGTTGACCATTGCACCAACCCCTTATCCAATCAAGTGGCTCTAAAGTTCGCCCCCTCCCCTCCCCCGACCGCTAAATCTCTAAGATCGTTGAAGATGATGGAGCAGTATAGGTGTTCTAGCCTGGCCTGGCTTTACTCCGGCCGGCTTAGCCAATTTTTCCACTGTTCTCTGTATTTGGAGTATTAATGGGAAGAATCATCATGGAAAATGAAATTAATTGCACCCAATCAATGACACCTCCTACCCCCTGCAACCTCAACTATTTGTAAAAAAAAATAATAATAATTTCTATTCCGTTTCAAAATTTATTTTGAACTCACTTTATTTTAAAAGTAAAATGAATTAGGTGAATGATGTCAAATTCTTGAACCCCAACCCCTAAGCTAGTCCTAGGGCATCTTAGCAATGGCACATGTTTGGGAAGAAGTAAATGAAGTTATAATCTCAATATAGCTAATAGAAACTGACATGAGTCTGTTCTTAGTATGCACAAGAATATCATGCAGACATGCAGCACATGATTATTCTTTATCGTCGTTGCCAGAAACTAAAACCTAGTCACCCAATAAAGTAGTTCTTTCGATGTGGAAAAGTAGAACGCCTGTTTTGGGCATCCCCACATCTCGGTCTGGCTGGATAGGGAGCAAGTATTATCTTAATTAGGTCCTTCGGTATAACCCCGGCCCGCGGGCCCGGTCATTAGAGTACTAGTTTTCCCGAATTTGTCGGTACCTAAGCCTCCAAGGTGTCAAATTGAATTACTCCCTCCGTCCCTAAATATATTTCATATTTCTATTATCGAGCTAAAATATCAAGTTTTTCAATTCATTTTATTTACATATTGGTATAAAAAAATCACATATAAAAAAACTACATGAAAAGTTTTTCGAAATAAGAGGTGTCAAAAATATTTTATTTTATTAAATAACCAATGAAATTAAAACATAAAAGTTAAATAAACAAAAGTTTCCGCGACTGCTGAAAAAGCAAATGTGAGATATATTTAGGGACGGAGGGAGTATAATCTTAGGCTAATCGAAAGAGAGACAGATCTGTCCCCGATACGTTAAAACATCTAATATGTAGCACGATCATCTTCTTATTTTTTTTTACAGTTGCCAGGATTCGTACTCGAATTAACCTCCTATCTAAATTACCCTTTCCACTACTTGAACATAATAGTTTTTTCATAGAGTTATAATTGGAGACACCGAAAAGAAAGAAAGAAAACGATGGATGAAAAACAAAAAAAAATTCACAGTACTGATTGACACCAGCAACTATACGACGTCGTCAAGCATCATTATGGAGGGCAGAAGAGGTTTATTTTTCCAAGCTCCACTCAATTCTACAGCTCATGAAAGATGGGCTTCATTTTCTGAGTGCTCTGAACCTTTAAATTGCTCTTTTTCTTTCATCATCCCTTTGGAATAATTTCACACTATTTAATGCATTTCCATACTTTTTCCCCTTGTCATCAAAACTTTTACAGTTTTACCCTTTCACCCTCATTACTAATTACTAGGGGTGTGCATTATTCGGGACCCGGACCGACCTGAAACCCGGCCAAAACCGGACCGGACCGGTCCTTATCCGGTCCGGTCTCCGGTCCTCATTTTTTCCTTATTCGGGTTTCGGTCCGGTTCGGTCCACCGGGTTTCGATCCGAACCGGTGGACCGGTTAAATTTTATTTTTTTAAAATATTTTTTTCTATATAAGTTTATAATATTGTATTTTTAAGGTTTTTTTCTTATACTTAAAATTAGTTTAACTTTAATGCTAAATTTTTTTTAAATGTTTTGATTTTATTATTTAATATAATTTTTAAATACATTTCAATTCAAAATAAGATACCAATTGTAATTCTTTTTAAATATTTTTAATATTAAAAGTGTGAAAAAGTAAACATTACCTTTATATTAGTGATCTCATGCATTTCAAATTTATGTACCAATATTATAACTTAAATTTGTATTTTATCAATAATAAAACTCTAATCCGCAAAACAAACATTGTAAATAATCTCATAAACAAAAATAGTAAAAAATGTATCTATTTGTCAAAATAAATCGA